TGCTAATCACCAAGTTTAAATGCCTCGTTTTGCTACATAATTTCTTGTTGTCTTCTCCCTCAACCCCATCACCCTGCTATTCATCATCCTGTCCTCCTCGTTTTTCCTCATTTTCCCTGTTTCTTCTTTTCCTCTCCATTTTTCAAGCTAATTTTCTCCCCTGTTTGTCCTTGACTTTAATATTTTTGCTCCTCTTCAACACCACCAATTTCTCCTTCCCATCCCTTCTGTTTTTGTTCGTATTGCTCATCCCAACATACTATTCCCGACTGTTTGTCCTTTCCCCCATCTGACCAGTCTTCCTATTTGTAGGAATCTTCCCTGCTCCCTCCTAAATTTCTCTACTTATTCAATGACAAGCCACCTATTTTCACCCATCTTTTCTTGTTTACTCATCCTTCCAGGCTCTCATTTGTTTTACCTCCCTGTATATTTGCAGCTCCGTAGCAGTGGACTCATCTCCGTTTATGAGAGGGAGGGAGACGGGTGGGGAGCTGTGGGAGCGTGGGAGGGAGTTTGAAGAGTTTTAATGAGCAAATAGTCACGCTTATAAAAGGATGGTTATGTGATTGAAAATGAAGAGAGACAGAAAATGTTGAGAGAGATAAAGAGAGAGAGACAGAGACAGAGGGGGAGAGGAAGTGGGAGAGGGAAGGGGAGATGAGAATTTGGGGAATTTGTGCGTTGTTTTGCGAGTATTCACTGCCTCGCCACTCAGACAATTCCAACTTGTCTAATCAATATTAGTGTGTATGTGTGTGTGTGTGTGTGTGTGTGTGTGTGTGTGTGTGTGTGTGTGTGTGTGTGTGTGTGTTGTGTTGTGTTGTGTGTGCTGTACTGATGAATGGCTGAGCTCTTAATGGTCTCAAACACTCTGCGGACTAACTAGACTATTTATCCTGCGCCCTCCTTTCTGTTGCCCCTGCCTCTGCCGAGTGTCCTGCTGAGGTTGGACAATATTGCACAATACATTACCCGTGTGTGTGTGTGTGTGTGTGTGTGTGTGTGTGTGTGTGTGTGTGTGTGTGTGAGCATGAGCATTGTCACTGCATCAGTCAGCGTACAGCCTGCTGGCTCGTACACCTGTCGGCTCGTTATGGAGCACATGGAACAGATAGAGGTGGGGCCCAGAGCATAAATCTAACGCACGCATACTGCACACCCGCACACATCCCTCTGACTTACACTCACTTTCTAACTTCCTTTGACTCCCCCCTCCCTACTAATAACACCACCTGACTGCAGCCATTACCTTAACCCTCGGTGTTTGTGTGTGACACTTAAAATAACCCTTTTTCCTAATGAGGGTCAACAGGAGCTGCAGACAAATTGACCCTTTCACCGAGACCTTATAAGGTAATGTACACAGATAATCACACACAAACACACACCTCGGGGACTGCAGCCGCTCGCACCTGCAACTGGGTGTGAGGGTTAGCATGCGAGGCGACGCCTTTGTGGCGGCGTGTGTGGTGCAGGGTGCTTGTGTGTGTGAGCAGGTGAACACAAGTGTGTGTGTGTGTGTGTGTGTGTGTGTGTGTGTGTGTGTGTGTGTGTGTGCGTGTGAGTGTCTGCGCGATTACGGCAGTAATGAGCAGTGGGCCGTGGGATGCCCAAAGGCAAGGTTCCCTACCAGGGTCAGACTCAAGGACGTCTGGTACTGATCTGTGTGCCTACAGCGCACACACACATAGAACACACACACACACACATAGAACACGTCGGTGCTGCAGCCTGCGAGCTGATCCGACTCCATTAAACCACGTGAGGAAACACATGCTTTTTCTACATGGCACCCATGTCCGTCTTCTCGCACACACACACACACACAACGTGAAACACCCTCTATTCGTCCCCAAACGTATACGATGGATTCACGCTTCACCAGCAAAGACTCTCAGAGTGTAGGTTATTAATGAGAGCGTGTCCTAACAACATTGCAGAGCCACTGTCCCGTGGAGGGGAGGAGGAGATAAGAGGGGAGGGGAAGCCAAATATGAGGGAAGGACAGAGGGAAAAGGAAAGGGAGGGGAAAAAAGGAGTAGGTAGGTGGGGAAAATAAGATGAGATGGTCAAGAGAGTGGTAGAGGAGAAAGGAGGGGAGAAAAGAAAAGGGGAGGAAATTTGAAAAAGAAAAAACTACTAGACGGATAAACGGCCGAGGAGAATGGCAACAAGAAAAAATGGAGGAGATGAGGAGAAAAAGGGAAATGAGTGAGAATAGGAGAGGAGACCCAAGGAGAAAGGGAGCAGGGGAAATGATAAAAAGAGGCAAGGAGAGGAAATTACAAAAAGAGGAGATGAGAGTTTAGAAGAGAAGGAGGAGGTAGAAGAGAAGGAGGAGGAAGGATACATGGTTTAAAGATGAGAGGAGGATCAGATATTACAGAGATAAGTAAAGGAAAAGAGGAAGAGGATAAAAAGCAATACATTCTGAGGTGGCAAAAGGGGGACATGAGGAAATGAGAAAATGTAAAGAGGAGACAACAGGAAGGGAATAAATGAAAGAGGAGGGAGGAATTAAGTAGATTAAGTAGAGAAATGGACAGAAAGAGGGAAATTGTTAGTGGACGGTTGCAGAAAAGAAAAGGAAGAATATAAGGAGAAGATGGGTAGATAGGAGGAGTAGAAATGACAAAAGAGGAGGTAGGCGGAGGATGCAGAACCCCCCACCCCACCCCCAGATGAGAAGGGGGGATGATGGGGGGGTCTCAGTAAGTGTGCTATGGATCCCCCTGTGGCGTCACAGCAGACCCATCAGAACGGATGGAGGTGGGAGCGAGGAGACAGTGCCACCTAGTGAATGTCACCCAAACCTCTCTCACACCCCTGAGCCCTCACCCCTCGTGTCACCCTCGCCGTCACCTGCGCGGTGTGATGCATGAACATCCTCCTCCTCCCGCCGCTCCACAAGAACCGCCTTCCGGCTGGCAGGTCGTTTTTTTTTCTCCAACCTTGTGTGTCATTATGGAGGCAGCATGCGCGGTGCAAAAACATACATATTAAATCAAGCCTCGTGAGCCTCGCTTTGTGTGTGTGTGTGTGTGTGTGTGTGTTTGTTCTGCTTTGCTTTTTACTTTTATTGTGCAAGTGATCTGGGGAGCGCTGTGGGAGCAGAGCGATAAGCCCGGTGTCACCGCCGTCTAATCATACTCCATGTTCCTTATCGGCTACCCACTCAGGAGACGGCATGAACTGTGGAGAGGGGAGAGACGAGGAGGAGGAGGAGGGGAACGGGGACATGGAGGGGAATTAGAGATGGAGGAAGAAGGAGTGGGAGCAAGAAGCGATAGGGGAAGAGAGATGTGGGGGAGAAAAAGGTGGAGGATGCGAGGAGGGGAGTGTGGGGGGGATTTAAGGGTCTGCTGCACTAAAAGCATATAGAGAACCAGCGCCAGGCCCTGTGTCACGACTCACCTTGCCACCCACACAGTACACACCCACCTTTGTTAGAGGATCTGTTTCTTCAATGCAACTTCCCACTGCTTGCGTGTGTGTGCGTGTGTGTGTGTGTGTGTGTGTGTGTGTGTGTGTGTGTGTGTGTGTGTGTGTGTGTGTGTGTGTGTGTGTTGGAGTTATCGCGAGTGCTAAGGATGGGTGGTAATTGAATAATGACAGTAACACATTTGATGGATTACCTGTCACTCTCCCCTCATAACTCCCTCCATCACTGTCGTCCCTTCTCCTCTCTGCCGCTCGCGCCTCGCAACCTTTGGTCAAATTGTCTCTTGTCTTGTGCCGTCTCACCCGTTCCCGGGGAGATAAAGACGCCCTGAAACAAGTAAAATGACACTTCTGCACGGTGTTCTCACCGCAGACGGACACATTGGCCACAAGGTGTGAAAGACTACTAGTACTGAGGTTTAAGGCAAAGTGGGTTACCCAAAGGTTATCGCAACAAATTAATGTTTTTAATGTTAAATTAAGTGTTTACTAACTACAATATCAAAATGCCCACATTACAAATAAAGGCCGCTAATAAGAAGTGTCATATACTATTAATGCATTAAGTGTCATATACTATTAATGCATTAAATGGTTTGCAGCATTACAACCTGTGCTATTTAAAAATGACCTTTCACAGGTTGTAATCTTTTTCAGCTTGTTCCTTTTAGCTTTACTTTAAATACTGTTTGTTTCATCTAAGAAAAAGAATTATATTTAATTTGAGAGTAATAGGTGGTGTAACATCTCAATATGCAACTGTCAGATTCAAGATGCCGTTTATAAAGTGCTACAATACTAAATTAGCCAATTAGCACTATTACACTCTCAAGCCCCACATCTCGGGGTTGAAGGCGCTGCATTCAGGTCCCATTACTGCTTTTTATTAGGGCATTACTGCCAAATGGTCAGCGAGAGCGCTGAGGATTGAGAGCGATCGCAGCGCTCTGCTGCAATGCAGTTTAATCTACAGTATCTGCTCGCAGCTAAATGGTCCTCGTCCATCACAGACACAGACTTCCTATGGGGAGTGTTGTAAATCCGCTGAAGCATCGCCAGCAGGGGCATTTGGTGTCTGTCTCTGCGCGGGGACCACCTATGACGGTTTTGTGTCCCCGATTCACGTGTCTACCTGGCGGCTGCTCCTCTACACCTGAGCGGACACCTGGTTCTCCTCCTGAATGCAGGCCTTTGTGTGGCTCTGGCCGAGACGGAGCAAGCAGCCTGGTGCTGATGGGACGTGTGCAAGAGGCAGAGAGACTGAGAGGAGGCAGTGATGGATGTACCAAGAGAGATGAGATCGATCATCATTCATTCTCACTCAGGTATCATGAAGCTCGGGATAATTGGTCAAATAGCAAACACAAGAGATCTTTTTTTTTATAGTTGTTCATTTAATTGGGTGAAAAAAGGAAGGTTTGCAAAACGTTCAAGCTGTGATTTGAAGCACGTAGGACATCAGTAGAAACAGCACCTACAAACCAGAAGTGAATCAGCCGCGCCACAGTCGTGCCTTTACCCTTGACGAGGTGCAAATCATTGCTTCCCTCCAGAAATGTGACACATTTCATCTTGCACATTCACAGTTTTTTTTTTTGCCGAAGCAAAAATGTAACCCGTACATTTATGAAATGTGACAGTATTTCATTTCAAAGAGAAGGAATACATCCTGCATTTGTATCTGTTGTTATTCTGGTTGGGTTTTTGATGAGGTAAAAAAAAACATTTTGACAGGGAGAACTTTGTTCTGGTTTTTCGGTTTATTGCTGAGCTCTGTGGTGCAGAACTTAAAACGAATAATAAAGATGGAGACGAGGATTGAAGCCCAGAATTACACTCCGTATACATTTCACAGTACGTGGTGATGTGGGTCAAGTGAGGCTTAACTTTGATTCTTTAATTGCACTTCCTTAAACATATCAAAAAATTAAATGAATTTTTTTGAGAATCACCATTTCTTTAAAGTTTATTAATTCAGCAATACTCTCTTCACAACGATTCTTTGATAAAATCACACAGTTCACTGACTAATTTCTTCCTCTAAAACCATCCTCCGATGAGTAATTAGTTGTCAAGGTCTCGCTATTATGAGCAAAGTATAAATGATGAGAAAAACGCAGCGGACGTCCACCTGTTCCTTAAGGCGTAGAAGCAGGACACACAAGAAGACATGAAGAGTACAGACTGGGTGTTTTGGTGGCTGCAAATATCACAGACGAGAAAACTATCAAAGCTTTTAGACCAAATGAACTCACTCGGGGGGGGCACCCTAGTTAGCCCAAACCCTATTCCAGTTTCTCCTGACGGTATAGTGTAACAACACACTGTGAGCTGGCATCGCACAGTCCACCATACCGGACGTGAGAAAGCAGTGATCCGAAGAACAGCGCTACAAGCCCACCAACACAATAAGGCACATAAACACACAGTCACATGCACACACACACACACACACACACTTTTTTCTCAGTGTGATACGCCAGCATGCCGATTATAGGGCAATAATGGCTGTGGGAAAAAAAAAGTCTATACTCACTCACACACTAATACACACACAGTAACTGAGACGTCTAAGCTCAGAGTTAATAGCACCGGGTTGTTCAGTGCCAGAGACGGACCCTGTGGGAAGAGGGTTTGGGTTGAATGGATGGCACTGATGCTTAGCTTAATGCAACAAAACACTGTTTCTTGTTAAACATACAGTATTGGAACATTTAATGGGACTATTTTTTGTATAAATAAATCAATATTGGAACAGATGTTTCCTATTTATGTGGTATTTCCATTAAAGTCTGCATCTTTTTAAGACACACAATCTGTGGAAACCATGAACTTTAACGTGTCAACTCAAATTATTTTTTCTATCTTTTTTCTATTTCCCACCATTTTCTTCCCAATGTTGTCTTAAAATCTATTTTATTTGTCGTATTTCCTAGCTGATTACCCTGCAAGCCAGCACGCTAGAGGGGAGCACCAAGTTGAAGGAGGACAACGACATGACATCGGAGAACGGGTGGTGAAATGCGGGGAAGACACGAACACCAGAACAAAGCAAAGATGAGGAAAGATGGCGAGCAGCGGGGCGCAGATGGCGGCGAGGGAAGGCAGAACGGAGACGGAGGGATGGGTTGGAAGCTGATATGTTGGATGTTATCCTCCGGCTCCATCAGCAGAAGCCTGTAGGTGGGGAAGCGCAATAATGAGAACAGCTGCAGTGGACAAACACACACACGCACACACACACACAAGTGAAAAAACCCACCAGCCCCTCGGCCACTCTTCTTCAGTGACCAATCCACATCAACATAATTTTACACAAGCAAAAGAACAGCATCACTCTTACCCTCACACTCGAAGGCCTGCAGCATGGTGGTGTATGTGGGGCCCAGCCAGGAGGCGTAGCTACCCAGAACCCTCTGCAGGTGGTGCGTGGCGTCATTAAAGAGCAGATCGGCTTCACCATAGCCTGCTGAGCTGAACAGGCGGAAGCCTTCGGTGGAGTTGGCAAACGCATTCTGCAGGAAAGAGAGTGTGTGACAGGACTTAATGCATGAGGGTATGCGTGGATGTGCGTTCTTTGTGTGTGTGTGTGTGTGTGTGTGTGTCTGTGTGTGTGTGTGTGTGTGTAGCCTGGGGATCAGCGCCTTCACGCTGGCGTCTCCCACACACAAGAACAAGGAAGAAGGACGACAGCTTAGCAGATACTTGCACTCTGAGACGTGCTGATCAATAACACAGACATGACCACACAACTGACACACCGGCGATGGCGCTCATGCTTCGCACCCACCTGTAAACGCTCCAGGTACTTCCAGACGCGACACTTGTCCTCCATGCGCACCACCACGGCGTTAGCCGGCACGGCTGCCAGGTGGCATCGGCCAAACTCGTCCAGGTTGGCCTCGGTTCCGTCGGGGCACAGCAGCTTCAGGTCCTCCAGCTCCAGATCCAGGGCCCAGGACTCCTGGTTCTTACCTGGGCCGCGGACGGGTAGAGGCGGGTTTTAATAGCAGATTGACACCTTGTCCCTCGATGTTTTTAGGCCTGTCGAGCTTTCGATTTGTCCACATGCCAAACCAGTGTCTTCTGGGCTTTATTATTACTATAATGTGGCGGCTGTGGGAAGAACTTTGAGGGGGGCGTCTTATTTAGCTCTCTTCAAAACCAAGTGTGAAGAATGGCTTACACAGCATGTTAATTTGCACCAACATAAACCACAGACCTTTATGTAATTAGCTTCCAATGTTTCGGTTATTATATTAAAATGATCTGTTCAGGTGGGAGTCAAGATGCTTCAACCTTTAAGGTTGGCCATTATTAGTGGCTCAAAATGGGGGGAATTTACAGTCCAACGAGACTTTTTGGAATGCTGAGAGATTTGGCAACCTAATAACCTTTAAACCACACAAAGAAAACATTTAGCCAAACAAAATAAAGACAAAAGGTTGACGTCCGTGAAGCTACTCTCTCTCTCTCCCCCTTGGCAACTGCACAGATCCGCCCTGTGTTTTCTTGGCCTCCGTTAATTGTTACGAGCTCGGACGCTAGTCGACCATATGAAAAAGCTCGCTTCATCAGTCAGCCACACTGTGACACTGTGGAGCTGGTGTCAAACTGCTCCTTCTCGGCCGCACCAGCAGGATCTGTGTCTGAGAACGATCGCCATTAATCTGGGACGATGCCCCGAGCGGAGAAGCAGATGCAGCCAACGAGGACTTCTTTGCTGGACAAACATTGTCTGAACCACAAACATCCATTTTATATCTGTTTCTCGCTCGTATCCTCTTTAATGCTCATTGCTATCCACCTGTCTCCTTGTCTATCTCAGTCTCAATGACACATATGATCTGTGTTCGCGTCCGGGATTCATTTCAGGTCTTAAGAGAAACGTTGTGAAACACTGACACCCTGTGTCTTGACACGGATAAGTACTCGCACACGTCACGCGCCATTTCAATCATTTCAACCTCGTGTGGTGGTTTAAAAAAATGCATTTGAAAACTCACCGTCCAGATTGTCAAAGATTGTTGTGTGTTTGACAAATGCCACGTCACCGAGGTTCTCTGCCACACACCTGGGAGAAAAACACAAAAACATGAATAACCCCACACGTTTGATTTATAAATAGATGACGAAAGTGGAAATTCGTACACTTGGGAATGTGCTTTTGTAACAGCATGACTCTGGAGACCATATATATATTCGCTCTGTTAAACGCACTTAAAAACTCGTATATGTGAAAATGTGAATGTTCTGTTTGTGGTCGGTTTTTAAGAATCATCAGATTCATTAATCATCACTGTATTTGTTACCATCATCACTATTCTTTTTCATTTAAGGATACACAGAGGTTTTAAATACTCCTTCTATGGCATATTTCGGTGACGTACCTCAGGGCTCCTGCTTCCCCGTAGTGCCGCTCTCTGTGGTTGTTGGCACAGATGTGTCTGTCGTCCTCGTCTCCTATACAGGCCTCGCACAGGTTCTTGGGGTTGTTGCCTCTCGGGTCGTGCTGGACGTCCTTCACGCCCGGCACGCAGCTGTAACCAAAGAAGTTGCCGACGGCTGGTGCAAAAACAAAACAAAGAAAGAGCGCGTTAGGAGGATGAACAGGAGGTGTCGGAGGAAGGTGAATTCCTTTTTGATTTAAAGGTAAATTCTGAAATAAGCCACTTCTAACTTATCCGGCATTTAAATATTGCCGGCCTCCCTCTTCTGAGGAGCTCTTCTTTCAGTCCACTGTCACACTCTCACACTTACGCTCTCTGATTGACTCTCGCTCATCAGCCCTTCACTCTTCGTTTCACTTCACGGTTTCCTCCTTCTTACCACTGAACTCCTCAAGTGGCTTCGACACATCAGCCGCGCGCTTCGTCTCACCTCTGGGGAAGTTGCACTGCTCTCCAACTCTGATCTGGGACGTGTTGACCAGGTAGCCGACAGGGACGGTCCACCCCACTGTGGTGCGCATGCCGGGGTGACAGGAGCTGCGCTCATGCATCTCCAGCAGGGACAGGTCTGAGGAGGAACGGCGCGCCATCGCCACCACGTAGTAGCTGAGACCATCTGAACAGAGCATGTGGGAATCGTTTATCAAGTCACCGATGCTTGAGGGGGAAGAAAGCAATAAAGAAGGCCCAATAAATGAACAAGACACACATTATTCTGTACCCACATCTGAATATGTTGCGTAAATACTTGTTTACTTATAATGGTGACGTTGTCTTCAGATACTTACATGAGTTAAGCTGCTGAAGCTGAAACCTGTGACTTACCAACTCCGTTGTGGGACTCTCCTGCAGCCAGCTCCAGGCCGTGGCAGAGGCCGGCGGCGTAGATGTCATCGGCAAACATGGAGGCTGCATCCGCTGTCCCGTTCTGACAAAGATACAATTTATTTAGTCAATTTCTAATCTGCCTTAATACAAAGTGCCAGATATGGCGAGGCAACACACGTGGACGATTCACAAAACAATCTTATGTTGTTTGGGCCGAATTTTAAAATTTTGTATCAAAAAAACATTGACATGGTGTACCAATAAATCCCCCAGAAGAACTGCTGATGACAAGATGAAAGATTTCTGTTTATTACACCCCTGCTAACAAAAACATTTTATTTTAGCAATTAATGGAGGTTAAAAGAGTCATATTATGTAATGCAAACTGGGCAGTCCACTTTCCCATCCTTTGCTCGTCAGGTACCTTAATTTTATTCATGCAGTCCCTGGTGTTCAGTCCACGGACGCACAGTAAAGTTCCTCTAACGTTCATAGCTGTGGCGTTCCCGGCCAAATCCAGACACTTCTGCTCTTCAGCGTCAGACAACACACACCAGGAAACTGCAGCAGTGGGGAAGAGTTTCAAATTAAGTTAAAATAATGAATGCTGGGATAGGTTTGCAAATGTGTCATTACTGCACCCCGAACTTCACCCTCTAAGACACGTAAAACATCACTCAAACACACCAAAGAAGAATTAATAACAAGTCGGTTTAAATAAATCTGGGATGTACCTGTAGTCTTTCCATTGTGGACACCGCTGACAGACAGAAGGGGCAGAAGGAGGAGGAAAGCTACAGCCAGTCTTCCCTCTGTGCGCTCCATGGTGGTTCTGGTGGGATTCCTGCTCCAAAATATCGCTCTAATACAACAGAGATGAGGAGCAGGTGGATTTCATTGAAGAATAAAATGTCTTGTAACCTGCTTATGAGAGAGAACGAGGGGAAGAGGAGGAGAGGGGTTAAGAGGTGGGAGAGGGAAGCAGAGAGCTGGATGTGGAAAGAAGAAAACGTTGTATTATTCCACAATCTCCTCCTCTTGAGGTGAAGTTCCAGTGGATAATCCTTCTTGCATCTCATGGTAGTAGTATTGCATTTCACCTCCAATTATCCACTGGGAATTATCCAGTGGAGAGGACAGCAGTAGACTTACGTATAGACTTGGAGCACTTCGTGTCACCTGGCGCGGAGTCTTGACCCATGTCTTTAATTAAAAAAGCTCTGGACAATGTGTCTCTGTATTGGTGCCGTGCCGTTGGAGAAAAGACACCGGCTGGGTCTTGCTCTGGTTCACCGGGTAGTGGAGCCCCAGGTAGGATATAACAAAACAGGACTGGCTATTGTTCGCAGACACGGGACCCGTGAGGGAAAATGTATCTACCGCATACAATTGTCCCTTTTTCTCTTTTTGGACACCCTCAAAGACATACATTTTCCCAAGAGCCACAGAGCCAACTGCTGTACATTGCTAACTACAATCAGACAGTGTCAAAACATGTAATGTGAGATGTGAGTCATTTTGCCCTAACAACAAAGAAGCAGCGGATCATATTGCCAGATGTTATTATTTATGATTCATGACAAATTGTGCCTTGATCCAAATTTAGCCCAAACTTCCCTGTGATAACCTTTAATTCAGGTATACCAGCAAGTGTCAGCAACCGTGATGTTAAGTAATTCCACTCGTTGTCAAATAAAAGTAACAAAACGGAAATTCAGTAATCAAAAGAAAAAAAATCCCATTTCAGTAAGAACACAAAGTGGACAGAAAAACGAGATTATAATTTTAAAATTTAAAATGTAAATTTAAAAGAGTCTTTAAGTGATCGACTTGTTTCCTTCACAAAGAATTGTCACATTGAGGTCATTTTTCGCAGATAAATATATCACTATTACGGTTATTTTGGTCAACAACCTGTAGGAAGACTCTGCTGACCCACAATGCACCTCGAGGATAATGTTGTGGTGACGTCATGCGTAGCCGGACGGGAAGACAGACAGCCAGCCAGTGGGTGGGCTGGGTTGTTATCCTGTTTGTTGCTGCTTAAATCGCAAACAACGCCGCTACGATCATTTAACCCCGATATCGAGAGAGACAAAAATCCCATAATGAGTTAGAGGCGTCATTGTGTACGTGCAAGGTAGGCTGATATTGTTTTATATCTCTTTGTTCTGATGGTTCTCGCCCGGTAGAGCCGTGTGCCTGGTAAGCTAGCTGAACGTTAGCTCGCGGGCTAACGGCAGCAGCACCGGGCAGACGTCCGTCTGACTGGCGCCTGTGGACGGACAATAAAACCGCTCGTTAGTGGCCTGTTAGCTGCAGCAACGACCCCTCTCTTTCAATCGACATGTTTAGGTTTGCCAGGGGGGTATTGCAGATAGCTTAGCTCGGTGGTGAACTTTATGGCACCGTAGGCTGTGACATTGACATGAAAGGTGTTAAGTTAGCTTTTAGCGGTGTTTGCATTCTGATGCGAGTTATTGATCTGCAAAGTAACTATCGCTACTCCTGCTGTGTTATGTTTTCTTAGCTGTTATGAATATATTTGGTCATAGTAAAGACCTTTTTAATATAAACTTTCTAAGTGAACAGTCCAACTATGTTATCAGTGGTTGTCTCTAAAATGTGAGTGTTTTCCCCCTGCAATCGGTCAAATGTTTTAAATAAAGCTTTGACAAAGTCAAAGACAAACATGACGGCTGGCATGTAGCCATTACATTAGTAGTTTTATCCCTTTTCTTTCTGAAGCCTTTTCGGGGACAATCAGAGAACACCGAGGGGGGTAAATGTAATTATCCTTGCATGGGAGCACTCATCGGAAGTCTCCTCTTCCCTTTCCTCTCCCTCAGTGCACTGAAACATGGGTCCTTGTGTCCTCGTCCTCCTGCTGCTGTCTCTGCAGGGCCTGCAGACATCCGCCGAGGGCTCTGGTACTGTCCGGCTGTTGCATTTAAACGTCAAGTCTTACTGTTTTCTGTCTGTAATGTGATTGATTTTTAGTGGGATCTGTTTTGAAAAAGGGGCTGACATTCCCCACCTTTAGTGTCGCAATGAATAGAGTTCAGAGCTGAACGTGGGTTTAGTTGCGCTTGAATGAAATTATTAAACCATACGCACATTTACACTGCGGCACAAGAATACTTGCATCACAACACGTGTCACAAGTAGTACAACAATTTAAGCATTGTTTTGTTTTTTATTACACAGCTTGAACTAATGCTTAAATACTAACCTCTTGCAGTATTTGTTCAGCTAATTTCTCTCTCTAATAATTTTGATTGATTGTATCTCGATTGTAACTTAAGTTACTTTGGACAAATATAATTGTTTTTCTCTCCAGCTGACATTGGCTAGATCCGTTACATCGGCGCCAAATAACACGTTCGCTGAGTCGACTATCTTTTCTCAGTAAAATTGTAGATTTAGGTGACAAATTTGCTACATCTCGGCACACTCCAGTATTCTTAAGCTTTGTTCCATTTGTTCATACGGTGACGACTCCCCAAAGGGCTGAAGTTCTGAAGGAAAAGTGCAGTTTAATAATGTAAATGAATCTTGGCTGGCGTACAAAGTAGAAAATGGAGGATTTTCTTTGTTCCTTTTTTATTTATTAATTTCTAAAGGATATATGCATATTAAATAAAATTTCAGTTTCCACTTCATGTAAATAGGCCAGTTAGCGAGAGAGGTCATTTTTGTCTGTTAGTCACTAATGTTGCATATTTATAGCTACTACATTTTTACTTTTCAAAAATATAAGTCCCCCCCCCCCTTCCCAGTGACAACTACTTGAGGGTGACTAGAAGTACTACATCTGTCTCCGTTCGATAGGAGTGTCTTTCTGTTGGCTTGCTGCCTTAAATAAGTGAACAGCTTTGTGTTTCCAAGCAATGCAACACGAGTGTCTGCTGAACTGTTTATCGTCTCATCCACAGATGGGAAGTTGGAGTGTCTTTGCGAGACCCCTCAGTCCCTGCGGGCCACAAAGTGCCAGGGGACTCGGTGCTTCTCCTCCGTGAAGGTCAGCAGCAGTGGGGTGGTGTTCGAGCACGGCTGCCTGGAGGGGCTGGACAAAATCCGTTTGCATTGCTCCACGGCTCCATCTTTCCACCAGGCCATTTTTTGCTGCTCCCAGGAGATGTGCAACGGCAACACCACCAGGAGTTCGCTGATGTCGCTGCTTCCGACAGGTTTGGCGTGACGGCGTTAATTTAATCGTGGTGAATTATTCTCTGTTAAATAATTAGTCCAAAAAAGGTCTCGCTATTAATTTTTCCCCTTTTCATCCACAGCCCCGGAAGGCGAGCCCGTTCGGTACCGCGTGGAGACCGTGGCTCTCTTTGTCCTCGGCCCGGTGGTGGTTCTGGCTCTGCTGTCTGCGGTGTCGGTTCTGGCCTGCAGGAGGCTCCACCGCGGCCGCCTGCAGAGGCTGCAGGAGTTTGACACGGAGCAGGGGGCCGTCGACGGCCTCATCACCTCCAACGTGGGAGACAGCACTTTAGCGGTAAGTGGGAGAGAGGTTCTGGGTGAAGAGATTCACGACACGGAGAACACGTGTTCCTCCCACCCGGCTTTAACAGTGTGTACAGTGTGTACTCCTCTATTACCGAAATGTCTGTACCGCTGAACAATTTGTTAATAAAGACAAAGGGGACATAACGGCTAATCTCTGAATCCAAAGGACATTTTTTTATTTAAAAGCCCATTTATCAGATCTTAATGCTGAATTCCAATAGCCTTGCAGCTTCAGGTGATGTGTGTGTCGTTTCTGATGATTATGTTATAAGCATCTAATCTGGTGTCTGTCTCAAGGAGCTGTTGGACCAGTCGTGTACATCAGGCAGTGGTTCCGGACTTCCTTTTCTAGTCCAGAGAACCGTGGCCAGGCAGATCAGCCTGATGGAGTTAGTCGGTACGTTGAGCCTCTCACAGTCCACCAGCCAGCTCTCTTCGTATGAGCAACCGAGTTTATCGATTTAGATCCGTGGTGTAAATGTATGTCACAACAAAGAAAATATGTATGGACCATATAGCACCTTCAGCTAAATGGTTCAGAGCAAACGCGAATTGTAGTTTATGATCTTGTTGTCATGGAGTCCTGCGCTCGCTCACTTGAAGTTTGCCGGCTCCATCAGTGTAATAGATGACTGCGCTTAGTTATTCTGGGATGTAACCCGTATTAAGATACAGATCTGACCGCAATGTCAAACACAGGATGTGAGGGACACAATAGCAGGAGGTCATTGGATTTGGATTGTGCTTGGATTTGTTTACAGCAACTGTCAAAGCAGAAGTCATGTGTTTCTTTGTCCTTCCATTTTTGTATCACTTGTCTCAGGTTGGTGATGGATGGTTTACTCAATATCAATTTCTGTTTTCTATTTGAGCATTCAAATGAAAGTATCTAGCTCACATGGGTTGAGATCCTGTTTTGTAGCACACAGAACTAGGGCCGCAACTAACGATTATTTTGATAATCGATTAATCGGTTGATTATTTCTTCAAATTAATCGATGAATCAGATTTTTACAAAAACGGCATTAAAAAGCTTTAATTTCCAACCCTTTATTCTAAAACAGAACCCCAAATTCGTCAGAACTAGTTCTCTATACTACACTCACAAACACACCCTCATGTTCACTTAAAGCATATTCATTAAATTATTACCATCATTGTAGTGCAGGTTAAGTAAATGCATACAGCTAAAAAACAACCAAGTGCTATGAGATGAATTTAAAATGGCATTTGTAAATAAATGCATTAGAGGCTTCTTAGTTGATTTAATGGATCACCATGTGTCTCCCTTTACAGGCGTAACATCAACTACCGTATAACCCACAGTATATGCGCAAGCGCACTGGACTACCATATATGACAGCATTAAAAAGTACAACACACACAAATATATTTGTCAACAATAACCAATATGGGACAAAGCACAAAATGTCAACACATTGAAAAATGAATGGTCCAAAAGAGGCGAGTAAATAAAAACGTGTCTTAGTCTTGCTAACTGCTTTACTGCTGTTATTAGCGAGCTAACGCTAGCTTGATCAGCTGGATGACGAGTAAACAGGAGGCTTGTTACGTCCCTCACGTCAAAACGGGACAACGTGGACCGGGACCCCCCACGCTCGCACACCTTAGACGACTAGTCGAACAGACGTCTCTCCCTGCGTCATGTGACTCACAACAACTGCCGGCCGCTCTTTCCATCTACGTCGGCTCGGCGCCTTTATTTTTATTTTTGCTCCGCGCGCATCTCCGCAACTCATTGAGTGACGTAATAATCGCGCGACACAACGAAACGATAATGAAATTCGTTGCACTTTTAATAATCGATTTTAATCGATTTTATCGATTCGTTGTTGCAGCCCTACACAGAACAGTTTGTACCGGTTTCCAATTGGAAAAATGTGGTTGCGCACAACGTAGGGTGTGGATGTCTACATGTGGATGTCTCTTGATTCTTTTCTGCAGGCAAAGGGCGGTATGGGGAGGTGTGGAGGGGCCAGTGGCAGGGTGAGAATGTAGCTGTAAAGATCTTCTCCTCGAGAGATGAGAAGTCCTGGTTCAGAGAGACCGAGATCTACAATACTGTGCTGCTAAGACATGAGAACATACTGGGTGAGTGTTTAACAAGCAAAACGGTTGATTGAAAAACACATAATGTCTATGTATAAAAGTGTATTGTCCCCATTGTCTCCAATTCATGATGTCTTATCAGAGATAACATGTTTGTGATTTATCTTTGACTTGATGCTCTTCTGGTGTAATATTTAGTTGTTTAATATTAAGCTGTTTGACTCACCTTGTTGTAGTAAAACGTTTTTAATCCTAACATTTTGAATGTTAAACGTAACACTCAAATGTCTTAAACCTTTACTGTTTGAATGCAGTCATGCAGGACCTGTGTAATAATTCAGTCCGGCAGAATAGCAAATAGTTAATTAGATGAATTTAGATCATTTAAGCTAAACGGTTGCATCACACGCATTATGATTGTCATTACAAAAAGTCCAGAAAGCAGAACTGGATTTAAACAATTGAAACTTAATTTGTTTCTGCTTCAACAGCAAAATCATTCTCTGTAATAAAAAACAATGAGCTGCCTCAGGGAGCACAATCTCTCTGAAAATGAATCTAAATAATGAATGAACAAAACAGATTCCCGACTTTAGATTTAGATCCACTGCAAGTCGTCTGCCTTGTATTTTTAATTCCACTTCTTATCTCTCCTCTGCCAGGCTTCATGGCGTCCGACATGACTTCTCGAAACTCCAGCACCCAGCTGTGGCTCATCACCCATTACCACGAGAACGGTTCGCTCTATGACTACTTGCAACGAGTTGCCGTGGAGACGTCCGAGGGCTTGGCGATGGCGGCGTCGATAGCCTGCGGCCTGGTCCACTTGCACACGGAGATCTTCGGCACGGAGGGGAAACCGGCCATCGCGCACCGCGACCTGAAGAGCAAAAATATCCTGGTGACAAAAGAACTGCGCTGCTGCATCGCAGACCTCGGTCAGTCTGTTGTCCGTCCGTCCGAAACGAGGATCTGTTCTAAATCAGCAGACGGATGCAGTCGTACTAAAACGCTGCGTGTGGCTGGTTGTTACAGGGCTGGCTGTGACCCACTCGCAGGCCGACAACCTGCTGGACGTGGGCAACAATCCCAAGGTCGGCACCAAGCGTTACATGGCGCCCGAAGTGCTGGACGAGAGCATCCAGACGGACTGCTTCGACGCCTATAAGAGAGTGGACATCTGGGCCTTCGGGTTGGTGCTGTGGGAGATCGCAAGGCGCACATACAGCAATGGTGAGCGGCGGTGTGTTTTATTGGGGAAATTTACGCAATAAACAATTCCAGTTCATTTTGTACACTTGTATACCATTGTATAATTCAGATAAGCGTCAGGACTCAGGAGATTCATTCATCCCATCGATTCAGTTACTCGGCCCAATGTCTTCATTAACTAAGTTGAACGTTGCAGGTATTGTTGAGGAATACAGGCCGCCGTTCTACGATCAGGTGCCAAATGACCCCAGCTTCGAGGACATGAGGAAGGTGGTGTGTGTGGAGCAGCAGAGGCCTTTTATTCCTAATCGTTGGTTCTCTGACCCTGTAAGTATGAATCTACTACCCGTACTGGATGCACTGGATCTATTTAAGGCATGCTTCTTTTTATAAAGCATTGTACAATGGGCATTTCTATGAAAATAAGACCAGGAATTCCCCAAAATGATCGGTTTCGAGCAATGCGAGCTTTCCGCAACCGGACAATTAAGGTGGACGTCATCAGCGATGTGAATGAACGAGATGCTGCGGCACCCCGATGCGGTTTACGCGCACGTACGGGGACTATTTTTTATTATTGGACGATAAAGTGCAGCCTCTCGTACCTTATTGCTTTACTCCGTAATATTCTTTTTTGTGTGAATTGTTGTGATAGTCTTAAGACATTTCTAATGGCAATTTTATCGACCCAAGTCAATGATGTGCAAAACAACTGCCTCCCTCCCCTAGACACTCTCTGCTCTAGTGAAACTGATGAAGGAGTGTTGGTACCAGAACCCCTCTGCGAGGCTAACTGCACTGCGCATCAAGAAAACCCTGGACAAGATTCACAGCTCCCTGGAGAAGGGCAAGGAGTCCTGAGAGGAGCCTTTGGGCAAAGCTGCCTGCCGTCAGGCTGAGAGAAGAATCCAGTGAATGAAAGACTTGAAGTGTCATCCGGCCTCATCCCTCCACCTGCCCTCTCACTTTCTCTGTGGTTGCCTTCCAATGACATCCCTTTCTTACTTGAAGCCCACAGGCGTTTTGTTTGGACTTGTGCGGTCTGAATGGAGTCGGCCTTTATCACGGGACAGTAACCGGTTGCCAACGCGCACATGGCGTGAACTGTAGACTGTTACCGAGCTGGATGGTATATTGTAGTACTGTATCCAAATGCTTTAATACCCATGCAAGACCGCTCTCTTAGAATTCAACATTTGTTCCCCAGCCGGTGTTTTTGGGCATGTGTTTGTGGCATTCTGCTCAGAGACAATCAAGTGTTTCACTCATTTAGCTTTAATAGAACGTGATAAGTATCGCTACGAAGACTCAAACAAGCCACACAGATATGGTCACTTAAAGGAAAACAGCCAATAGAATCAAATATTTTGAACTTTTACATTTTTTTTATATTTATTAAATGTCCACCAATACCAAACACTGATACTGCGTGAAAAGGATTGTATACATAGGAATTAACTCTACTGAACTCTGCACCCATATCGCCATTGCAGCCCGTGAGAAATACTGTGAGGGAATCGAAAAGAGTAGAAAATTGTTCCCATTTTTTGTTGGATAAAACACTAAAGATGCACAAAGTACCTGCCAATAGATTTGTTGCAATATGATGCGCCTGCCTGGTAAACTGTCAAAAGGCTGCAGCTCTTCTGTGCAAGCAGAGAGAAGCAGTCGCCTCCTCGTCTCACATTGTACAAGCTTCCTGAATGACAAGAAAACACTCCAATCTTCACCTGGAAAGTGGCATATTCAAGAATCTTTTTTTTTTTTTGTAAGTGGCCTCTGTGTGTGGTTACAAATGAATTTGTCAATTGCTGGGTTTGTGTTTAAAAAAAAATTACTTTGTCTTTTTATATGTAATAAAACCGCACTGTTGCATAGCGATTAGCCAGCTTTGACTCCCTCGTTCATCACATTGGCCTGAAATAGACTCGCACACACAGGAATGCAATTGTGTTGCCAAGGTCAGGCGCTCAAAGCAGTTGGGGTTTGGTGCCTTGCTCAAAAGGTACAGTGTAGCAATTCCAAAAATATTCTAAAAGCAAAGTTGTATAATAAAAGTTCCAGAAATATTAAATTCATAGGACAATATGGAAAGTCACGACCACGTCAAAATGAAGTTGTTTAGTACTGGAGTCATATACCATGTTAAAGAAATCAGATGTCATAGAAGAACAGTATTTTAAAAGTACTGTTTTAAAAGAAATTAGTCCTAAAATCATGAACAGGATTGTTTTAAAAAAATATTTCAAGACAAGTCATGTATGTTGAAAAAAAAGTCAGCAGAAGTCATTGTTTCACATGCCAAAAGCAATTATAGTTAGCATAATTCATAGTGAAGCATGCATTGAGAAATACAGTATTGGCGGCCCATAAAAAGTCGAATTGGAGTCTAGCAAAGAACGCATTTTCTGCGTGCGACTTGGGAAATGTTTTGCAACATTTTAAATGCGTCACATCTCCAGTAGATGTAAAACGGCTCTGTGGAAAAATTGAAAATTGGCATCAACTGGACTGTCTGTACCCTTTTTGTCAATAGGAGATAATAAGTACAGATTGTTTTTCTGTTGTGGTGCAGGCTTCAATTATCTGCCTTCATGCCACACTGCACAAGTTGCTTGAATAACAAAAGACAACGATCTTCATTTGGAAATCAGTTTATTAAAGATTCGAATCAAAACAGAGTTAAACATTTTGGGGTATTTGGTTACAAACTTGGTTTGTTTAGGGAAAAATAGTCTTTAGTATGTTTTCTGTGATGAACCAGCCCGTGTTGTGTGTTTGGAAAGACGAACACTCAAACTAATGCAGGTCTAAAAAAAACAGACCTGCAAGAAGCGGATGTTCGAGTACAATCTTTTAAGTATATATTTAAACAAGAGTCAAGTTCATATGTGGGTAGCTAATCCACACAACATCAAAGTGTACAACAACTTTAAAACTATAATATATGTAGACATTACTTACTGTACTAACTCGTACTAAACAAGCTTCATTGGAACAGGCATGAGCTGCTTTAAATAAAAAGACCAGTGCCAATAACGGTGCAGCTACAATGGAGCTCCCGCTTGAACTCCGCCCACAACGGAGACCTTTCGGTTCACTTCAGGTCATCTGGTAGAGTCTTGTACGGGTTGAGAATACCTTTGGGGTCCAGCATGGCCTTGATGTCCCCCATCAGAGCTACGGCCTGCCTCGGTTTGCTGTAGTAGATGTAGTTCCTCTTCTTCAGCCCCAGGCCGTGCTCTGCACTGACGCTGCCCCGACAGCGGGCCGTCCACTGGTAGACAAAAGGCTCGACGGCAGCGAGGAGACCAGGGTCTTTGGCAGGAGAGGTGATGTTCAGGTGGAGGTTGCCGTCTCCTAGAAGTACCGATGGAAAGAGAAAGAGTACAATTTGTGTTGAGGCATTTATTTAATTTGTTTTGGTGCGACAGCAGCTCAGAGGGTATAATTGGCTCAGTAGCTCAGCATGACAATCAGGAACATTTATTGCAGTATGTTAGACAAGGAATTTGACATGGCGGTTGCTGCATAACATTGGACACTACAACACAATCAAGCTGTTGATAAAGAATATAGCTGGTACAGTAATAAAAGAGATATCAGCTTCCCATATTACGACCTTTTCCACCTCTGGTCTTACCTACGTGTCCGTATCCCACCACGCTCTTGGCTCGGCCCCCCAGGTGCTCCCGCATGTCGGTCACAAGCTGGTAGATCTGCTCCACCGGGAGAGAGATGTCGTACTTGTACGTGAAGCCATCGTGAGTCAGCGCCTCGGTGACACGTTCGCGCATCGACCAGAGGGCCTGAAAGGGAAGATCAACATCCAGATCACCTCAAGCAGGACTTCAGACATAGTTCAGGCTGCCAATCAGTGTAGCTCGATTCTAGAGGCAAGTCATTTAAAAACAACCACAGTAAAAGTGATTAAGTTTAGCTCAACTTTTGTTGTTTTTTAGGATTAAGAAAAAAAACTGACAGTAATCTTCTTCAAAAACATTTGATATTTTTGTTGAAATTCGAAATACATCATGACGGTAATAGACTATTCAAATACTTTGATAAAACAAGAAACAGTCCGGTGTTCGTCCAATCATTTCTTTTTGGTCCGACGTTCACGTCGCACTCATTCAACAATCTTCTAGTTTAGCAGCTGTGAGCACCAACAACAGTCATTCTCGTTGTTGACGGGCATATCGATACGTTTGGGGAGTGACTTTGGAGTGAGGCACGAATGGAAGGAATGTCAGTGTTGCCAATGCTAGATTTAGAGACTTTTGGTCTTTTATTGGAAAAGAGCAACACAGGATTGAACGTTCATTTCGACAATCATTTTTATCTGGTGTTAGTTTGCCAGTTTCTCAATAAAACCGATCCTGCATTTAAGGCAGGTGATATCCTACATTGTCAATAAATCTTATTGAAAGACAAGAACCAACAATGTCTTTGTCCATCTCTAGATACTTTCCCTACTCTTTTAAAACAAGTCACACCTATATGATGTTATTCAAGAAGGTTGTCATTTCCCCAAAACAAAAAGCACATTGAAGTTCAGCAGTTATTACCAAATCAATTAAAGACTAAACTTGTTGGAGACTATTTTTTCTGTATTGCGTCTCAACAGCAGCAGATTGTGTTTGGGATTGACTATAAATTATAACCATTGCAATAAAGGGACATGTTATTTAGTGTAAAAGGGTGTCGCATATTAATGTTTTTTTTAAATATATTGGACAACAATGAAGCCCCGATGCACAGAGGAATAAGCTTTATCTCAATTTGTGAGTTCGCTTTTTGGGAGATTTCTAGAATATAAAAACACTTAAACTGAAAACAGACCTTTATTTTTGAGTCTTCGGTTGCCACAGTCCCATCGGTAACCAATGATGATGCCATCGCCTCCTCTAGGAAATTGTGGAGTTTCTCCTCATCGTGTGTTGCGTTGGATCCAGATGTTTCGATTACAATGTAAAATGGACAGTCTGCAAGATGGAGGAAAGAGTTCAGCGAGTGTGTGTGTGTGTGTGTGCGTGTTATGAACTGTTTGCATATAGGGGTGTTGGACTACCAGAGATGGGATTGGGGAGTTTGAGGTGCGTATTCAGCAGCCTCATGCATTCACTGTCCAGGAACTCAAAGGCTGACAAAATTTCTCCCAGCATGCCTCTGCAGAGCTGAAATGTCCTCAGGAGTTGATCAAAAGTCTCACAACCTAATGAGAAATAAATGTAAACAAACTCAACATTTATCAACTGGACACAATTTGAAATTCTATAAAGTAGTTTGAGATTCCGGGTTGTAAAAGGGAGAAGCGATGAGAAAATCATACCCAGAAAAACCACATTAACAGATTTGGGTTTCCGTGGACAGAGAATGGACACGGCAGTGATGACCCCCAGTGTGCCCTCTGACCCTATAAAGAGCTGTTTGAGGTCATATCCTGTGTTATCTTTACGCAGTGTGGTCAAGCAATCCAGTACTCGCCCATCTGCCAATACCTGTACATGCCACATAGATGTACACACAAGACATGTGAGATATTAGATTAGGGCGTTTGTCTTTTTTTATAAGATACTTTCAAAGTTCCACATTTGTTTACTACACTCACCACCTCCAGACCCAGCACGGTGCCGCGTAAGGAACCATATCGCAGGAGCCGGAGTCCACCTGCATTTGTTGCCACGTTTCCCCCAATGTGGCAACTGCCTTTTGCCCCCAGATCCAGCGGCATGATGTAGTCTCTCTCCTCCAGGTGACTGGACAAGTTCTCCAAGACACAACCTGCCTGACAGGTCAGGATGCCTGACAGATGGGAAAAAAAATCCTCAAGGATTAGAACACTGAGATTGTGGCCAATTCTGGGTGAAACTAAAGCCTTTTAAGACCTACCAGAGATACTATCAAAGGTAAGGATCTTGTTCATAAGGGCAGTAGAGAGGATGACCTCGTCATAAACAGGAACGCTGCCTCCAACTAGCCCAGTGTTTCCTCCTTGGGGGTTAACCGCCAGATTACGACCATTGCAATACCTGCAGGAGGGGAAACGCAAAAAGTTAAGACGCCGTATTACACCCCGCACTTGTGTGATTGTCATTCCATTTCAACATATGTTCTTTACTTGAGAATTTGGGAAACTTCCTCTGTGGTTTGCGGTCTCAGTAAGACTTCACTGGAACCTGCAGAGAATGTGAGAACAGAGATGTGAAAGACACAATGTGTGAATCAGTGCAACTTCCATCTTAAAGTGGAATGAGGTGAATTCATTTCTAGTCATGACCTCTCACTGACTTGAGCCAATCCACATTACTGGACTCCAGCAGGTCCGGGTCAGTGATGGCTCTGCCCGGCAGGATCTTCTCAAAGAAGGCTAAATCGTCCCCGGTCACCGTGGAGAAGGGCAGCCTCGTCGGTGCGGCAGCAGGGGACGGCTCGGGCACGTTCGCCCCGGAGTGCAGCTTTCGTGAGGTGGCGGTACGAAACGAACTGCCGAGGTCACCAGTGGACCCCCCTGTCGGGCCGGCCGATGAGAAGGCGCGATGAGGGCTCCGATGTCTCAGAGCCGTCCTCAGGCTCGATGTTCTTAGGAAAAACCCCATCATGACTGGAGAATAGGCGCAAACAGGCTGCAGTGGAGACATGTTGAATTATTAAAATCGGTCTGTGTTGTAGTTATTATTTACCTGGTATGGAGCAGCTGGCTGAACTACATGACTAATGATTGTTAGCTAACAAGCCACTGCTGTAATGTCGTCTCAAAGTTCTGCCCTCCTGTAGAATATGAGTCCATGGGAAACTTATCCACTAAAAAAGGAATAACTGAGAAGCTTGAACAACCTTGAATCAAAAGAGAGAGAAACCTGGTGTCAACATGAAAATCGCAGGTGTCCCCGATTCATAAGGAAAGTGCTTGTTTCAGTTGCTAGGCAGCAGTCAACTTTGTGATATTCATTTGTGCAGTCTAATGATCAACGGTCCACTTTGAACAACCTGAGGTGAAACATTATTTGGGTTTTCCCAACAGTAAGCTAGTTTTTCAGTGAGTGTGTTCGTGAAGATGCCTGAACAATATTCAAAGGCATTTCTAAATCGAAGTCACTAATACCTCGTATTCTATTCAGACAATACAAAAGTACATTTTTGCAGGTGGGATTTCACCTTTTTTACATCTCATAAAATTAATAATAATCCATTTAAATTCCTTTAGATCAAATCAGGCACGTACCACTAGATCCTTCCATGTCTATGGATCCTTCCCCACAATATTAATAATGTTTTACATTGAAGTAACTAGTCAATGGTAACAGTCATGTTGTGTTTGTGTGCTCGTGTGATCTCTGAATGTCACGTCGCCCTTGTATTAGGGTAGTTAATAGTTAATACAATTGGCAATGAAATACAATTGTCAAGACATTACTGAGAATGAGGAAGCAATTAATGTTAACCTTTAACGCTAAGAGTTACTAGCACACTGGCATTGCTTTTTACCGCTGTTTTCACAACAATAACTAACGTGAATTAACGTTAAATATATTAATATACTCACGACCAACGCCCGGCTAATAACCCGCATCGTTATAACGGTGTGTCTTCTTTCACGTCATGTCTCAGAGCAGATTCCCTTACAAAGACTTAAGAGAATATTTGGTTACTTAAGCAGGCTAGTGTTTACAACTAGCAACAACTCTGCAGCTAGCACGGAGGTACTTCCGGGGTTTAAAGGTCACGCAGATGACAACTGGCCAATCCCAAGCCTTCTTTTTCAAAACTGAGCGCCTTGTCACTTTCAGCCAATTTCGACTGTGGAAAACAAAGACGCTTCATATATGAATTAAGAGATAAACGTACACTTTTTTTTCAGTCAATTAAAGCATATAGTTTGTTTCTACCTATTTATTACTTAAAGTTCAATTTATTCATGAGATTTTCCCAGCACTTCACAAAAAAGCATTATTATTATTAGTAGTATTAAAAGGGGAAATTTATTTTAAACAGACAAAACTTCCTCATGCATTCAGTAAAGTACACAGCATGCAGATCATTTTTTTTATTTCTTTGTTCTTCATCTCCGCCTACAGTATAAATGACTAACAATTAAATCCAGTTTCAGGTACATTGTTACTACAGCGCAGAACATAACGTTTCTGAATACAACTTCAAGCTGAAAACGTGTTGAACAACAGGCATAACACCATGAAATTCTGTGAATCCAGTCCAGATTAGAAACCCCTTAAGGCACCGGCATTCCTTTCAGAGGTCATTATAGAGCTGAACCGACGAGAACACTACACTGATGTGTAGGAACCCAGAGGAAAGATGTCTTCTCAGTGCGTCCACATCTGTAATCCTGTGAGCCCCCTGGGTACGTATACAGCCAGCTCTTACCTCAAGCTTCCGGCTTAAACGTAAATGCTGACATGGCCAAATGTATTTCATCCACAGCCAACAAAAGGATGAAGAGGGATGGGAATCTACAAATGTACAACAATTAAAAGAACTTGTGTCCAGACCCCTGGTCTTCTTCACAAGTTCCCCTTCTTAAAATAAAATAGCTTATACTAGACATCTGTTTTTTTTTTACCATGGGTCCACAGCTGCTGCGCACAGATGTCGCATAACCTCGGTGACGTCTCCAGCAGGTCTTGCGAGACGCCATTTGGAAGCCATGAAGACAACAGATTTGCAGCTTGACGGCATTCAGCTCGAAAGCGCGAGCCTCCCCCGCCCCGGGGTGATTTCTGTGCTCTGCAGGTTCCCGGGTGTCTCAAGTCAGAGCTGCTGCCGGTCGTACTCCGATATGAGCTTCTTTATGTGGGCCAGTTTGTTGTGTAGATATTCACAGCGGGTCTTGTCGTGGTTGTGGTTGGGGTTGGACTACGGGGACAAAAGAAATGCAAGACTTGGATTACTTATCAGCAATAGAGAGGAGGACTGGAGTTGCCCCGTAGAGCAGCCTTGGGATAAATATCCTTAAAGGAACTGGTTACCTTTTTGATTTTGCGATACTCTTGAAGAATTTGATTACGAACCGTCTGTAAGAGAAGACTAGAATTAATTAAAGCAGATAGACGTTTACAGGACTTCCATCACGTTAGATAAATATGTTAAAGCTTGCTGAATGTAGTAAAACTAAATAACATGAATGTGATGAAAAAGAAAAAAGAAAAACCTACACCATCTCTTTAAATATTATATAAAAACATTTCCCTCTAAAAATGATTTTTGGAGGAAGCAAATGCATGAAACATAATTAGACCTCAAGATTGAACACTGTATTGGTGAGTAACACCAAATGTAATCACAGGGCACCTTTTATGAATTAACTATGGACCAATACTGATATATATACTATTATGCTGACATTTTCAGAATGTAATAACAAAACTTTTCCCCGTTTCTTTGGTTATCCCTCAAAAAGGTGAACTGTGGCGAAACATACTGTTCCCAGCGGAGCGTTATGGATTAGGATTATGTGTTCTTCTGCCCAAACTTGGTGCAACAACGGCGTTTATGATATTTAGTATTTTAGGAAGCGAAGACCAGACCGTGCCTTGTACTTATGGGACTCGTGGTGGAGCTGTTTGAGCTGCGCGTCCAGCTCCATGAACTGCCGCGTCACTCCGTCAATGCGAGCGTGTAAGTCCCGGTACTCGCTGTACTCCGTGTTAAAGTCTTGCTTGTAGCTCTGTCTCTGGTCGTGATTGAAAATCTCTCCGTACTTCCTGTGCAGAGAACATAATAATAGGGACATTATGATCAGACCAGCGAAGAACCCAACGTCAGAGAACTTAACAACTTGCAGACGTCTAGGACTGCAAAAAAAAACTGAAAATACACATAACTAATAATTTTAATCTAAAAATACTGAATGTGTGATACAGAAAAATAAGTTAACACTTCTGAGCAGACTTTGATGCTTCTGTGTGGAGAACTAATGTAACGTATACTTACAATAGATAGTCTGCGATGTCATTGTCTACTCTGAGCACACTTGAGTCGAAGAACATTTCGCTTGGCTCTGAAAGAAAAAAAGTCAGACCATTTAAAAATAGAGAATATTTAACCTGTCAAGCTGCATAAGTGTCAGCACTCACCTATGCAGAACAAGGAGACCTTATTGTCTGCATCCTCTGAACCGAGATCCTTTCTCCTTTCTTTCCGGTTTCTCACCCGCTCCTTCTCCACATCAGAACAGATCAAATCCAGATTACCGAAGCACCGCGCGAAACAGAAAAAGACATCCCTGAATACAAAACGGTGTTCTCACCTGATCTCGGCGTTTGTGTTTGCTCTTCTTCCTTTTGATCGTGTGTCTGTTCAGATCAGGCACCATCAGAGGGGCCGCGGGGCGATCGGGGTTGGTTAGAGGGCGGTCGGATGCCGTGACTCGGGGTTTCTCTTCAACACAGTGAGTCGGCTCGAGCCTCTTTGCCACTTCTGCCTCCCGCTGACAGACCGCTGACAAGGATTCGAAAAGCTGTCGAGGATCAAGCGAGTCCCTTTTACTGCCATTCGCCGTCTCCTCTGTGGCGGCCTTTTGAGCCGCCTGTTCGGCGGGCCTCACTCTTGGCTTGTCTCCGGCTGTTTTGCTCGACAAGCGCGATATCCTGAGCTTCTTGCTCGCCAAAGGGTCGGTGTATTCCTCAGGCAGGGCAGGCTTAGGCCGGTGCGCTGGAGAGGTGTTGGGAGTATCTCGCAGGGGACTGACCTGCGCCTCCGGGACGCTGAGGAGGTTCCGCTGGGGCTGAAACAGCTTCCTGCAGTTACGGGAAATGAATGAGTAAACAACTTCATCAAATCGACCCTTTTTTTTTTGCGTGTAGGATGTTGTTGAGATGCTGTCGTAATATGAACACGGCAGCGAGCTTGTCGTCCGTATTACCTGACAAAGATTCGTTTAAGCAGCTGCTGGTCTCCTGAGGAGTAGCCCGGCCAGTCCCTCTGCAGCTCCTTATACAGACTGTCCTTCAGAACATACGTGTTGTCTCTACTACTGAGCTGGCCAACCTGCACGCAGGTACAAACACACACAAAGCAGATGAGAAAACAATTGGGACTCAAGAGCACAAATCAATTTTCTTGATCCGTTTAAGTTGTTTTCAGTACCTCCAGCAGTTCGGAGTCCAGGATGTCTTTGTCTCTTGCCGTCAGTCCATCTTTCTGCAGCCTCAAGATGAGCTCCGGCCTTTTGTACGGCCGCAGGGCCAGCAGGTGTGTTACTCTTTCCCTAAGCGGTCTGTCCTGCACGTCGCCCACGCTCTTACTGTTCGACGCGCAGATCCCCTTCTTCGGCTTGGACACGCCAACTTGGACTCCCCTCTTTGCGTTGCTGAGGAGGGACGGGGATTTGTCGGTGAGTCGGGGCTTGGTCAGGGCGGCCAGCGCGGGGGCCGGGGCTCGCACCGTCACCCTCTTGCCTGCAAGGCAGCAGGAAATCTCACATTGAAAGCAGCACTTGCCATGTAAAGCAAACATATGCTTGGCAAAAGGTATCCAACAACAACAACAATATTCTATATTTCTAAATTGTTGCACATTAGAACAGGTGCCTCGTTTGAACATTAATTCCAGTTATTAATGTGCGATAACACTACTTGAAAAGTGTGCTTCTCAAGGCTACATCGGTCAAGGTCAGACACCAGGGATCAACATAGTCGTCAAACTTGTGAATAAAATGAGAAAATACCTAATTTCACCTCTTCAGAATTTCTCATTCCGGTTACAAGCGTTCACCCGACTATCAGTGAGCAAAAGCTGCCATCTAATTTAGGAAATAACCACACAGTGGAACAAGAACAGAGAGGGAGGAAGTGGTTTTTTTTGCACAAGCTTCCTCTGAGCTGCCAAAATCATCAAAACTGGTGTGTCTGCATGTACGCATGTTCACTGAAACAAGATGAGGTGACTGAAATATCTGTTTAGAAGGAAGCGGTTTGCTGGTTAGAAGCAAGAGAACAGAGCCCCACAAAAAAAAGCTAAATCACTGGTTTCGTTGTGCGTATGTTTATTTTGGTGAGCAGGTCGTCCAGAATAAAGCCTGTTTGCCGTGTTTTGAGGAGACTGCGGACCCTTTAAAAGATGTCATTGCGTACATTATATGGGCCTGTGCGTGCAGCATAGAGGTATAGTCTAGCAGAAAACAGACAGGACCAAAGAGACTGACTGTTACCATGTCATTGGTTACTATGCGCGTTGCTATGGCAACCAATGCCACATGGCTGACTATCTTTTTGTTGGATGTAAACAGCACAGTACAAATTTGCCTGCAGACTCGTCTTGTTCCTCAGCCGGGGTTCCGCGTTGTGTAAGAAAGCGGATTGCACGTGGAAGGCGCTTTCTTACCCTGGAAGCGTCCCCCGTGTTTGATGACAATGGCTCCACGGCTGCGCGTCTCCTCCTCAGCTTGGGCCATGCTCTGGCGAGCCTTATCGTACGACTCATCCGTAGCGTTGACCGTCATCTTTTTCTGAATCACCCCCAGACATGACAGCTCCTCGGCAGAACTGGGAGGAGAGCATGAAAACAGGGACCTGAAGGAGCTTTCAGGATGTCTTCTATACATTATCTATGTCAAAGGATGGATTGTTTGGGATTATCTTCTATGGGTGGGACCCCTTTGCTACCAAATACACATAGATTATTTTTTCCCCATGTGTTGTTTAGGCAACAGCTCTCAATTCTTTTGTCCTCAAAACGGCAGCAGAACAGACTTGGTAGACCTGTACAGTCAGGACTCCCCGTGTCTCTGGCATTTAAAGAGCCTGACGGAGAGATGTTAGCAGCAGGGGGATTTTCACACAGCAGTAAGCGGGGGGGGGGGGGGGGGGCGGAAAAATTTTAAAACATTGAAACTGAGGCCCTCAGTTAACTCGTAAACATCTAACAATGTAATGACAGTACACTTAGGGACAAACACAATGTGTGATCTTCACTATATCTATTACATCACTGCTTTCCGGTTTGCTTTCGAATGACATTTTCAACTGCAAACATTTTCCTCAAGAAGTAACCATCAATGACCTAATTTGATGTAATCTTAGTGTATGTCACTTTGGATAAAAGCCTCAGCAAAACGAAAAATGTAATTGATACTAAAATGTAAATGTATTGTGAGTAGTATTTGCTTATTTACCCAGCGGCCCGCTGTTGGAAGCAGTTGAAGCTTCCGTGCGGATTATCACGGGCTACGTTTGTCACGGCAAAGGTGAAAACCCTCAGGTCGTCTTTATTCTCCGAGCGAGGGACGCTGATTTTCTAGGACAAGAGGGAGAGAGGGACAAGCAGAGCGGTTCAATTACACACCTTTCAAAATCACGCACAAGATGAGACTGTGCAGTTAGTATGTCGACCGGTTGCTCTTACCCCTTTGTTGCCATTGAAACAGATGGTGGGACGGGAACCCTGAAGCAAAAGACAGATGGTTGTTTACAGTGCGGCATGGACTCACCGCTGGACGTGCAGATACAGACACACGCAGATCTGAGGGCAGACCAGCGCAGCCCGTTGTAGGACATATAACAGAGAGGATGCTCATTGCCCCGACTCGTTGTCTGTAAACTGCTAAAGAACTACATCGGAATGATTTGTATTTAAGGGCTTGAGTTGTCTGAAGTGAACTTAAAAAGGGGGAAGTCCAGATTTACACATGAAAGTAGATTGAAGGGTATTAAAGAGCACTATTACTCTGACTACTACTACTGCACAAACATTACATGCTTTAGTGGAATGAAATAAAGACAATATCTCAGTTTCTCCTCCATCAATTTGTATAGTTTTTTGGTTGATGCAAGCTAAATTTACCTGACGCACTCATTAATCTCAGTAGCTGCATAGCTATTGATTCAGCGTGTGAAATTGGGGGATCCTTAATGAAGATGAATAGTTCCGATCAGCCTCACACCAGTTTGCTGTCCGGCCCGAGACCGTCTTTCCTCTCTAATGTGTCATTGTTATTGTTTTGTTACAGTTTTTTAAACCAAAAATCATACTTTCTGCACACACAAAAAATAGAAAGCGGAAACTTCTTCTTCTTCTTGTGTTTCCTGCCAGTGATGTGCCTTTAAATAAATTCAATTTGATATGAGGAGGGCAAGGTCACCACGACCTGCTGCTGAAGGGTAGCAGCTTGTCACGTGACAATATGGTGAATAGAGTGGAAGAAAAAAAAAAAAAAACAGGCCAGTCATCTCTGACGGTGAGGGGGGGAACGGAAGAAATGACACTCCCAAAAGTAACAAGTCAGCAGCTCGGTCGGAAACAATGACTCAAATCAAAACGCCCTGTTCATGGAGAGGATTTGTTAATCCAGCATTTAGTCGGTTTAAGCTCGGTTTAATGTAGAGGTGGTTGTTCTGGTTTCTGTGATCAGACCAGGTGCATTATAAATAAATACACTTAAACGCTGAATGAATAAGCTAGATACACGCAGAGGAACAATATTGTGCGCTAGTTAAAACTGTGCTTTTTTCTCTCCCTTCTGTCCTTCTCATTCAGAGAAAAAGACGGAGAAGGGCGGTGCGCTTTTTCACCTCTCACCAGAAAATAGGTGGCTGATTTCTTTTCTCCACCGGAGAAGTTTTCAAACCGGATTACTTGGAATTACCAAATAGAGGAAGTGGACATGACACATGTTCTCTGCTCAGACTCCCTGCGGTGAACGATCCCTTTGAGAAGTGGGTCAAATGTTTGAATATGTGTATGTGTTTCTCTGGGCCTGCACCATGGAAAACAAAAACAAAACAAACAAAACAATTTTTTAAAAGTAGAAGCAATGCATCTCCTAAATGCAATCCCCCCTCCTCCTCCTCCTCCTCCTCCTCCTCCTCCGCCTCCTCCTGCTGCTGCTACTCCTCCTCCTCCTCCTCCTCCTCCATCCCCCACAGCCTGCGTTCTTTCTTCTCCACCCGGCTGGTTAACATTCACTATACTCGCCCAGCAGCTTGTAACCACTTGGCCGGCAGCTCGCTGCACGCAGCCGCGCACATGGAGGGGTTTCCATGTTGAATTATGCAACACGTATTTCCATCCAGTGGCTTTAATAAATAAATAAAAAGAGGAGGCTCGTGGGAGACAACGACCGAGGAAGATTTTGCCGAACTTCGGGCTGAAAAAGAGGAATCACAAACCCTTCCTCCTTCGCCTGTTTTTTTTTTTACCACTTTTAGATATTTTTTGAAGCGGAGGTCCCCTTGACGAAGCGACGTAACAATAACACCCGTTACCGGACGCCCGGGAGTTATTTGAAGATCATTTTGTACTAAAAAACCGGCAGCCTACCTCCCAGTGAGCGAAGGAGCCGATGGCTCTCGCCGCGCTGTCAGTGAGTTTGACGTGAAAAACGGAGACGTTCCCGCCGTTCAGTTCGCCGCCGTTGAGTCCGTAACACCGGTTCTCCTCCAGCAGCGACATCCCGCCGCAGATACCCGCCCACCGGGCTTATTCCGGACCGAACCGACGCCGCATAACCGGAGGAACTACGGGCGCGGGGGACGCGGGGAAGAACACGGCTCAACTGGTCCCTCCGCCGCGCGCTATTCTGGAGTAGGTCTGGTTACGTCACGACGGCTGAGCAGTCGTGATTGGCAGAGAGACGTAAATAAACGGCTACGTAGGGCTGACGTCACCACTTCAAGTTTTCAGCGGCCCGCTAGCCTCCTCTCACTGCGCGGAGTGTCTCTCTGTCACAGGAAGGGGATTTCTTTGGTTAGTGTGAAGGGTTTTAGTAAGAATTTGATCTGACAAACAGCAGTTACAGGAATGAGGCATTGATTTAAAATGTACAAAAGCTTTATGATAAAAAATGTATTTAAAATTCCCATGGTCTTTAAACCAAATATCCTTTGCAGAATATTATATGATGGGATTATAATTGATGCGTCAATGTTCATTATACTTTATCATATACGTGCAGTGTCATTTATAATGTATTTTTATCACAACACCATTGTATTGCGTTCACAATCTGTAATTTAAGCATTAGAATAAATGCAGTGGAGGTAACACAATTCTCCGATTGGGATTCTTCATTCATACATTCAATTGCACTGATTCTATTTCCCTGTTCATGGTGTTCCTTGCAAAAAACAAAAACTGACTTGATTAATTGGTTTACATGCAGAAAAAAAGAATGATCTTGTCTACATTTAAGCTGCTTATTACTTATATGTCCATGTGGAAACTGTAATGAAAGCTATACACAGGTGGGACTCATGTTTTATATTACTTTCTGATGATGAGAGTGAGCACAGATATAAAAATAGTTCAGTTCACCACAGTAAACCTTTACTCAGCTAAAAGTAAAATGACTGAATATAAAACGTGCTTTCAAAAACACAAACACGGTAGCAGAATTGCAGAATACAAGGTGGCTGTGGCTTTGTTTCATGCTCATTTATGTCATTTTAAGGATGTAGATTAAGCACTAATTGACATTTGACTCAATTGCACATCTGGTATTTGAGGGTTTCTGAAGTGTTTTCCTGGTCTCATATAAGCTTGGAGCCTGATACGTCAGATGTAATAATGTATATATAGAAATGACTGTGCTTTGCAGAGAAGTATAAACTGAAAGAAAAAAAAATACACCATTTTTTTATTTAAAATGAACTGTGTGTCTGTGTGTGTGTGTGTGAGTGTGTGTGTGTGTGTGTGTGTGTGTCATCTGCGAGTGTTTGAAGCTGACGTTTGTCACAAGGCAGATGAGAACTGTTCAAAGCTGACTCATATCAAAGGGCGTCTGGGTCTTTGTAGCGCCGCGTCTGCAACAGGTGACATTTTGGGCTCAAATCCATTTCCACTTTGAACACACCGCCGTGGGACTGAACCTCCCCTCAACCCAGCGGGTACGGAAGGGACGGATCAGGACACAGGAGGGACAAAGGGACACAAAGAGACAGGGGGAGAAGATGACAGTTACTATCCTCTTACTTTCTGTTCTGCTGTTTGCTGCAGGCCACCGATATCAGGACACTTCATTCCAGAGCAAAGGTAAACCTTTCACAGAATAAGATAATGGCTTCATGGGAATAAACTCAGGATTACTGCTTCTTGTTTGTAGAGAAGGAAGCACTGACAAGGTGAGTTCAATGTTCACTACTAGTGATGTGTTTGTGAGTCTTTATTGCCATGTCAGTAACGGTATGATAAAGTCTCCAATATACAAACGTTTCAATAACATCTGCAGCCTTTACGTTTCTTTTCCCGTCAGACACACAATAAATGTGACTTGGATCTATATCAAATAACCACATTTGCTTCCAGTCCTGTTAAGTATAATGATGCATTTACTTTTTATTGCCGGTTCAAATAAGACAACGGACAGTCTTCCTAAACATGTCTTTTCATTAGTTGAATTGTATAAAACTGATAAATGAATAATGTCAGTAGAATTTCATTATTATTGATTCTTTACACAGCAGGCAAAACACGCCCAGGGCAGCGGTTTAAGCTGTTTTGCCGTTGCGATTTGAATAATGTAATATGGTTGTTGTTGACAATGATGATCGGACTCTCCTTCACCTGACAGGCCATGGCAGACCCCCTTTCCGACAGCAGCCCCCTCATCAGCGCGGCAGCCTCCTGTAAGCTTCGCCTGGTCCGCCTGCTGGTGGAAGGTGGAGCTCAGGTCAACGGGTGCAACCCCAGAGGAGAGACCCCTCTCCTGGCTGCCTGTAAAGCCATGAGGGGGGAGCCTGCTGGGCGTGAAGCGGTGAAACTCCTCACCTATCTGCTCCTCAACAAGGTCAGTCTGCAGTGAGGAACATTTGCAATTTCGAATGCATAATAAATGTGATCGTCCAGTAAGAGAGGTATGCGGTACCGGTGCATAGTAAACAGGTCCCTGATGTTTCCAGCTCTGCTTGGGTGCTCCACCCTGTAGAATACCACACAAAGGCAATATAATTATTGATTTTATCATTTCATATCTCATGTGCGATTAAAGCGTCAATATAACCAGATGACATTTATTCGTAACCTGTAGCTTATGATTCACTAACAAGCCAAATTGAGAGACAGACCGAGGCATTGCTCAGTTGTCGTCTTCCATCGACTGACCTCCCGTGTGGACCGATCAGGCGGATCCAAACGCACGGGACCGAGCTGGACGCACTGCCCTCATGTACGCATGCGTGCAGCGGACAGGAGCTCAGGTGGCGTCCTGCCTGATAGCAGCAGGAGCCGACCCCGGCATGGAGGACTACTCCGGCGCCTCAGCGCTGGTGTACGCCATCAACGCACAGCACCGGCCCACACTGAAGGTCGGTGCATTTGGGGGAGACGGGTGGAGATGGAGAATAAAAGTGGTGCAAAATAAAGATGCATGTTGCATGCATGTTAATGTCACAGAAATACTCAACAATTCAGGATCAATCCAGAAGTGACGTAAGAGGTACATTGTACATTCATCTGTTAGGAATGTTTCAATTAGGGAAGTACGTCAAGGAGATTATTTCAACCTATTTATGTGCTTTTGGGGTTTTTCAATCTGGACCAAGGCATCGCAGTGTATCAACTGAGTTTTATATTTAAAAATCATAAAAGTAAATGCAGTAAAAAGTACAATATTCCCCTCTGAGATACATTAAGATAAAAGTACGAAGTAACATAAAAACTCAACTAAAGTACCTCTTTTCAAAAAAACTGTTTTTCCTCCATACAAGACAAATTCCTTGTATGTTTGACATATTTTGGCTAATAAATGTTTCCTGATTCCTGATTCCTGAGTGGTATGAAGAAAAATCTTGTCAAATGATTAACATGAAAGTAGTTCAAATGTGTAGGTACTCGACAATACAAACAGTAGTTTCATTACCAGAACTTGGCCCATGAAACCCCAAATCCACTGTGTGCTTCAGGTGTTGGTGGATGCCTGCCGGGCCCGAGGTCGTGACATCATCATCATCGCCACAGAGATCGGGGGGAACGGAGGGCCGGTCACCAGGCATTACCTGAACGTTCCTCCGTGTCCGGACAACTCGCCGGCGTCCTGCATGTCCCCGTCGGACGTCGTCCTGACGACCGGATCGCCCAACTCACCCGAGGGAGAAAGCGTCTTCAACTTCAGAGCAGCTGGTGAGCGATGCTGATTGTTGGTATGGCTTCGATCCGTTCAAGTACGCTGCCAACTGAGGTACTTGGGACTTTATGTAACGGATCGCAGTGAATATAACGTTCACTTTCATTTTTGTACAAGTCCCACCGTCTTTGCGTGATTTGAATTCCACTGAGAGCCTGAATCACACAACTGAGGAAAAATAAAAGCAGGCATTTTATTGAATTTATTGAATTTCACACTGTACTAAATAATCAGAAAGGAGAAAAACATTTGAAAAAATAAATCAAAAAACCTTGGAAAGTATACTTAAGTCATTTAGCTAAAACATGCAAAACCACAGAAAACTGACTACATAGAGAACACGAGTAAGGCCCTTTAAAAGGACAATACCTGTAAGAACCTGGTGAGCAACATTGTGCCCGGTTTTCTTTTTTTGGGGGGGGTTGTGTGATCTGCACCATCAACAGCAGGCTACTCGGTATGCAGACGGCGTGCCCCTCCTGGATACGCCACAGCAATGCTTAACAAAGACAAGTCCAGACAGATGAGAATTAATTCCTCGTGGTTGAAGTCATTAGCTGAGTGCTCCGTCCCAAGGAGACGAGATGAAAACGTGTTGTCGGGGTGAGGTGCGGCCAACTCGTGGTGCTGAATTATGATGAGGGTGTCGCCCTTCTCTTAGATTGACTGGTGGGAGCTTTTATGGCAAGAAAATAATTTGAATTTGAAGTGTTTTTTTTTTTACTTGTGATAAATCGCATGGATGCGTTACAGGTCATGGAATAGTCAGTCCTCTGAAAGCGCTAACATTTGATATAACGATATTGATGATATACAGACTGATGTTTTTCTTCTTTTAGTTGGTGGTGCTTCTTGTTTTACATTAAATGGTTTATACTGTAAATAAACTGAGAGATGTGCATGATGCGTGTCACTCACTGCCTGTGTCTCATTCACCTTACCCAGGCCAAAGAGGAAGCAGCAGCAGCAGCAGCAGCAGCCTCCCACCGGCCAGACACAGAGTGTTATCTGAACCGTGGCTGGCCGTTCACAACCTGGCCTGTCTGAACCGGACCTACGAGGAGGGAATGAGGGAGAGGAGGCTGCAGGAGGAGGCGGACAGAGAAGATCCAAGGAGGGAGAGGAGAGGAGACGAGGAGCCACGTTGTCCTCGGTCTGGGGTTCAAAGGAGGCCAAAGAGACTTGAGGGAGAGACAGAGGACGCCTGCAGGGAGGATTTTCTTCCCGGGCTCTCTCAGTCGGTCCTCTCCCCCGCAGAGGGGAGGTCGCCTCAGGGCGGCCAAAGCAGGCCGGACCCCCAGAGGTCCTTCGCACCTGGAGGTTCGACACTGCTCCATCACTCCCAACTTCGCAGGAACACCCTGCCTTCAGTCACTGCGCTCCACCTGCCGCCCTTGGCCGACCACCCACACCTCCGGGTCCCGACCCGGGTTTCCACCTCCGAAAGCAGGAGAATGGTGTTTCTGCCTCAACCTCCCGGCTCCTCCCCACCCTCCTCTTCCTCCAGAGGGTCCGCGAGACCGGCGGTGCTCCCCCGGCTGTCGCTCACCTCCTCCGCCGGCAGCGACCGGAGCAAGCGAGCGCTGCGTCGCCACTCGGTACAGCTCGAGCAGATGGGAGGAGGAGAAATCCTTTAGGCCCTCATCCCTCAAGAATGTGGTTCTCTGACAGGCAAAAGCATTAAACGGGTTTGAAAACTCCAGCTGAAGAAAGGATTTCAAATAGATCCCAAAGATCCCCAAATCATTGTGAATGCTATTTCAGAAGTGCAGATTAAATCATTTTGACTGATTAATAGGTAAATATTTGTAATCTTAAAAAGGGCATAAATAAAAGTAAACAGCTTCATAAAACTGTGACCTTTAAGCACGTAAGCTATGACCCCTCAGAGCTTTCATATCCCAGCAGTCTGAAGGCTTATTCAAATTTTTGTCTTTAAAAAGGTCTGAAATTCTGGGACATTGAGCGCTTATAGTCTGTATTCTCATGCTGAGAAATAACTTCAATGGAACCAGTAAGAGACGTGCATGTTCATGGCAAAAGGAGTGAAGTCATTTTATTTGTTTTTAATATGTATCTACAACAAGGGGGACACAGGCAAAAACAACTGACAACTTGATGAAAATGAAAAGAAAAGCAAAAAGAAAATACATTACCAATGCAGTTTTCCCACCTTTTTTCCAATAAGCAACATTTTTTTGTCTAAAGAAACTTTACAATATAAAGAAACATACGAAGAAGGAACCTCTCATTTTACTACACGAGACATTTAGGATCTGAAACTACCCTAACATGAGATACAAAGCAACTCCCCAAGGACAGACTGCCTCATATTCAATACTGCTTTGTCATCAAGAGGAAAAAATTTGGAACTGAACAGAAAAACTTTTTACTCCCCCCAAAAGAAATCCTCTCTTTACCCTCCCTACCCCTGAATGTTACAGTATTATACATCAGCACAATAGAAATACAGAAATGATCAACGTTGTGACGGTTTTACTTACAGGACAGAAAGAGAGAGAAGTTTGACTGCATTTTATACAACAGTATTTCAAAAGTACAGGGAAGGAAAGGCCTGTTCCTCTCTACCTCTGCTCAGCCACCAGAACACACCTGTCCCTGCTTTACTTTCCAAAAACCTTCCTCCTCAGCCCATTTTAAATAGATAAAAAAAAAAAATCCTTCATAGTAAAGTCTTTACTCTGGTCCCTGGTGTGTCGCTTTCAATCAGGTCAAGAGGGAAGATAGACGCACTTTTATCAGAGTGAGACGTGAGTGAGTTTGATTACGAAAAAAAACGGTACTCTGGTTTGGTTCCTGCAAATCCTGTTAAACAGTGAACAATATGCCCCTTTTTTGGGGGGGGGCTTTATTTGCGAGAGAGAGAGAGAGAGAGAGAGAGACAGACAGACATCTGAACGAGAATCGTGTTTAATTAAACGATTCCTTGAGGAAATGTGTGTGACAGTGAGTTAGCTAAAGGCGATCAAACACACCCACTTCAGAAATGGTCGTCCCTCAGCCGGCGTGACCCCATCCCGCTCTGACGCGCGCGACCGCGTCCGTCTGTGACGAGGTGAAATAGCATAATAGTCTATAGCAGCTCCAGTTTCTGATGCTTATCAAAAGACACACCGTCTCTGGACAAACAAACACGCAGCCACGAATCAGCACGTTTCTGATCAACTGCTGCCGTGATTTGAAAATATCAAAACATGTCAATGATATCAAAATGCATTTTACAGTATTTACAAGAAAATGAAATCCCAAGATGGTGAAGAAGGTGAGAGTTGTACAAAAAATAAATCGGAGAGGGTGGCGTGCTGGCCCGTCGGGGAAGGTGAGAAAGAGGCAGAGGGAGGACGATGGTTACAGTCTACAGAGCCGCTCTTCTTCCTGCTTTGCTCCGTCACAAAAACAAACAAACTGATCAGCAGAGAGCCAGACGACCTTTCAGTAGGAGCACCGCATGAGTGACAGCCCGTCTGCAGTCTAAACCCATCATCAGGTGTGCAAAAGCAAATTTCCATAAAGCACAGACATACATCACAGTGTGTTGAGGACTCGTCAACGAAAACAATTGCTCACTACAGCTCAGCAGAGATGAGAACGCAGGCCGAGCGCATGTCAGAGGGGACGCGGACCTTAGTGGGCGGCTTTAGTGGAAGCAGCATGAATCGGTGTGTGTGTGTGTGTGTGTGTTGGGGAGGTGGGGGGGGACTTCAGCACCTTTAGGGCTCAGAAAGTGTGTCTAATGATGTCAAACAGATGAGACGACGCTGCTGACTTGGTCTGCATATTTACAGTTGCTACTAGTTCTGCAATTAACAAAAAAAAAAAAAAAAACATAACAGGGATAACACTTTAAAAAAAGTAACAATTATTCATAAGACAAATTTAAAGTATATAAATAAATAGAGCTGTGCATTTCACTGCATGGAAGCTACTAAAACAGGAGGCGCTTCTTCTGGTTTGGATTTTGAACAAGGAGTTAAAAATATGTTTTACGGTTGCTAAAACAGAGAAAGAAAAAAAGAAGGCCAATCAGTACCGAGATGATGAGATCTTACCTGCAGGGGGCAGTGTGCTCACACGGAGCCGCATGTTACACAGCAAATGATTTCTGATTTGTTTGCACATGTGCTGTCTTCATCATAATAATGTGCCCTTAGAAACAGCAGAAATTAGAACCTAACCTTAAAATAATCATACCATTATTATCAATAACAATTATACAATAATAAAAATAGCATCGATACAATACATACACAAAAAAATGAGGGGGAACAAAGTTCACTGATCATCACAACATCTCTGGTAAAAATGTACACACAGAGTAAACAATGTGGGGGGGTTGGGGGGGGTCGTTTCATCCAACCCTCAACTGAACCCATCGGGACGAACGGCAACTAAAACGATCGTGATAAAAAGTCCAAAGTCGTGGTTGAGAAATTTCCAGGCAGCTGCTAAAAGAACTAACTCTGCGTCTTCACGGGGCAGCTGCGTTGTCCAGTCTCCTCTCTCGCTCTCCTCCTCCCCCCCCGCCGCTCTCTCCGTTTGTCCTCCTCCCCTCGCTCATTGTCTAGAACCTGACAGGAAGCCAGGGAGGCCGGGGCCGGAGTCAGAGAGGAGGCTCTTCCTGTTGCCCTGTGACTGCTTCCTGTTCAGACCGGAGGCCATCTTGCATGCTCCAGGAGGGCCCGTCTTGGTTAGAGTCCCAGCATGCTCCAGGGCCGTGCCAGAGGGCTGAGTGGCCATAGAGTTCCCCAGTCAGAAGAGGAAGGGGGGAGGGGGGGGGGCAGAAGGTTTTTGTGTGTGTGTGTGTGTGTGTGTGCCTGAGGAGGGGAGCGCATCCCACTCCGAGGTGGAATAAGGATTTGTTTTGGAGGGGAAAAAGAAATAATACAAAATAAAAAAAATAAGGGTGTAGGGATTCAAAATAGGGGCGGAGAGGCTTTGGGTGTAAAGAAAAATACAAAAAAGGAAAAAATAAAATCACACACTCATCGTCATGTTGGGTGAATACTGAAAAGAGAGAGAGGGAGCGGGGGGGGGAGGAGGGAAAAGATGAGTGGATATGTAACTGACAACATGTAAACACCAGGGGGCGCAACAAGGCTCCAGTACACTGAATACAAGTAATCAACAGCATCAGAAATAGAAAGAGCTCTTATTTTGAAATGTTTTGAATGGCTACCAGCTTTACGGCTGACTCGTTGAATCGAGTCATTAGAGCTCAGGTTGAACTGCAGGCTGTGGCCCCGGTGGAGGAACACAGCGCGGCCCTCCACCTGTTGTGCGTATAAAACTTCAGCCACTACTTTAGCCGTAAAGCTGGAAAGCCCTTTCCTGGGATACAACGAATAAACAAAGCAGACTAGGCACTTGTGTCCATCAGCTGATCACTGATACAGAGGGTATACAATGCATGTGAAATGCATTTTAAGTGATTAGTAAATGGCTTCAATGCAAGCAGAACATCAGATGTTCGTTACAGCTCTACTTTTTACAATGAACTTTCTCTTTAGATTGTTACCACTTTCAGAAGAAGTGCCGCTCTTGGAATAAAAGTCTGCTAAGGTCCGTATTCACAAGTGCGATTTGTGCCTTTGATGGAGTCTACTTTTCTCAAAATGACTTGGATGGGAACGGCTCGTATGGCTCAGTGACAAATTGGATTCATATTTTGTACAAACTGAAGACTTCTAGTCCCAACTGCTTTACGACTATTCTGAGATCAGGTGAGAAGAGAATGAGGCGAACCCTCTGCTTGCATTCTTGCACTGGTTTGTCATGGGGTCAAGGGTAACTGTTAAGGGTCGTGAGATGACAGTCATTCGCTCTACTTACACTTTCGCTTTGGAATGGGTTCAAGAAGTTTCCGCCCATTTCGCCGTCATCTCTCGGCGTTCCGGGAGGGTTGTTCATGCCCCCCATGTTATTCGGGGAGCTCTGAAGGAGTGAAGTGTAGAAACAAAAACGATTATAAATACAAGAACAGTCGGCAAACAGGAAGCTTCTGGAAATGGAAAGTTTTACTCACCTTTGGCAACCCATCCATATCCCCAGACCCTGAGGAGGAGAAACAAACAGCTCAATTTCAAGGTTTACTTGCTGAATAATAAAACACAGTTTTAGCTCTTCTCATTTTAGCTGGATAGCCGAGTGCGTTTAAACCCACCTAGTGATCCGTTCATGTGGTGCGGCTCCATGGCTCCCATAGCTCCCATCGGCCCGTCAGGCCCAGGTCCCATAGGGAACTGGTGACAAGATGGAGAGCGAGCCTTGTAAATGAGGGCAATATTGTTTTGGTGTTTGATGTCGGTGGTTTCCTCAGCCCGGGGTGAAGTACATTCTTCCATTTATTCTTCCCGGGTTATTTCCTGTCGATTTTGGCAGCATTTTGTTTCTCTAATGCAGACTTGCAGACCAGCCCAGTGATCATGTGGTTTGAAACATCATTTAAAAGGTGGATTCGTTTTTGTGGGCAACAAATCATTTCAACAACATTCATAATTTAAAACCTGAAATCAATCTGCACTTTTCTGAAACCGTTTCGAGCCTGGAAAGTTCTATCATTGAAGCCCCGTCACGGAGCCATTTGTTAACATGATGACTCACATTGGGTCTGTTGCCGCCCGGTCCGATAGGATTCATCATTGTGTAGATGTTTTCGCTCGAGTTAGTAGAATCTTAAGGAGAAAAAAAAAGACAAAACAAAACCTTTAGTTGGACGATACAGAGAGATGATGTTGATCAGTAATTACAAAGATAATATCGAAAAAATAAAATGGTGAAATGCAAAATAGACATGAAAACATAATTGGCTGATGGGGCTCATGCTTGTTTTTGTGAGAAGAAATGAGATGTCCATTTATGAAAATAGTGTTCGTGCTGGGGACACAGTTTGGTGACGCACCACCTGGGCTGGGCATGATGGGAGTTCCAGGTGGACCTCCTCCGCCTGGGGGGCCCTGGGGGAACAATCAGTTATCAGAACATGAGTTCAGTTCTACATGTATGCGGGAGAACTGCTCTCGTTTTGGACAGATTTGCACTCACCACGTAGTTTCCTGGAGATGAGGAGGAGTATGCTATCTGCAGGGGGAAATAAACAGAATGGGATCCGAGGCTCAGAGGATGCTGAATGGGAACACATACAGGCTGCACTACACGCTAACACAACACGCCTGTAATAACCGTTACAATTGCGAACTGCGGCAATGAAGTGTGCCGCTTGACTGGCTTGCGAAGGAGGAACGGTAGTCACAAGTATCCTTTGATAAAACTGACCAATGGACTAAATATGCCTCAAAACAACGAATTACAGAGTGAAATCTACTGCATTCTATCTGTATTTTACTTTGCAATCTTCATGTGATCATGTATAAAGGACGAGGCCTTCTGACTCACAGAGTTAGCATTAGGTCCTGGCCAAGGCCCTCTTCCTCCGGGACCCCTGATGCAAAGCAACAAGCGCAGGAAGAGAAGAATGAAGGGAAGAGACAAATGAGACAAACGGGTAGAGATAAAATGGTGTAAAGTGAAAAGGGGACATAAATAACTAAAAGCAGAGATTAAACTGCAATGAGACACAAAGGCTCGACGTTTTAACTCACATGTTCATTCCTGGCATCGGGCCGCCCATGGAGTTAGGAGGAGGCCTCATACCTCCATAATTCTGTAAGACAAAACGTTAAAAGCATTGTTCGAACATTTAACGAGACAACCGATTGTTTTATTTGCAGCAAAAGAGTCAAATTTACATTCAAGGCTGAATAAATAAGCGTGTCTGTACCTGTGGGCCCATGGCCATTCCCCGAGGAGGGTTCATCCTCATCGGTCCGCCCATGTTAGGATGTCCTGCCGGAGCAGACAAACAGAAGTCACAAACTAAATGTGACGCACATGACACAGCGCGCGGTTTGTGTAAATCCACATATGGCCACTCTCTTAAAGGCAGGAATTAAGACGGGCCGCAGACAACGCTTAATCCTCATCCCATTAGTTGCAACCAGCCGGACCCTGAAGATGTAATCTGCAGCCAAATCACCACGACCCCTCCCTCACTGAGACGAACACACCCACGGATATTACATCCCAAACAGGAAAGATTCCCCCAATTTCTATCAAAATAATAGGAGTCATTAAATATACAGTGTCAAACAAAAAAATGTAAGTGCCATAAAAAAAAACCTGTATGATGACAATATGTCTGACAATTCTATATAGAAAATGAATATACATTTTTTATATAAAACGGTCTTCCCTGCTGTCCTGTGTGGAGGAAAGTGAAACTTTAGAAGTAACGCTTAGTTGAAGAATTACTCAAGATTATGAAGAGCACCATTAGTTACAGCTGTTGTAGAGTCACCCTCTATTATAGACAAGCCCTACAATACAACAAGGAACATACTTCAAAATACGGAACTGGGGTTTGGACCAGGAGAGCTGCACCAGCATTACCTTGCGGTCTTGTCGGGTCCAAACTGTTTGGCAGGAGCGGCTGAGATCCAGGGATCCCCCCCGGGGGCTGAGGAAAGACCAGACGCGGAAACTGATTGAAAAAATGACTCAACTTCCCACTTCTTCAGCACAGATTCTCAACAATAACAGTGTCTCAGAAATGTTTTTTTTTAAACTGCATGTACCTGATTTGGCATTCGGAGTGAGGGGCGTGGTCCACCTGGATACCGTGGTGACATGAAAGGCTGCAGAGGGAAATGGAGGAAGGAAGGGAGGAGCGGGGGGTGTAGGGAGGAGGAGGAGGAAGAGGTGGGGTAACAAGGTTTTCATTATTGGTAAATCGAAGAGCTCTCAAACCGGAGACGCACTGAGGACACACAGATGGACACAGTGTAGTTGGAGGATGGAAGATGACACTGAAAGATCAACAGATCCGCCCAGCAATACAATTTGTTCTACAACGCCGTTACAATAATTATTTTGTGCAATACACGTTAACCTGCCCGCACACAAAGCTAGTGTGTGTGTGTAACACAGCGCTCACTGGGCTCCCCGCACACCCGGCCTGCTCTCGCTGCGCTGTAAGCCGATTCGCCCTGTGGTCAGGCCAACAACACCGTCCACGAGCCTTAGAGGAAGCATGTCCACACTCTCCCGCGCACACAAGACGGAAACCAGAAACCACAAGAATGAAGAGCCGTGTCGCCGCAGTTGATGGGCAGAGATTAGCTTTACAAACTCCTAAGTGGCATCTGTAGCTACCGCTCTGGACGAGCGCTGAAACACGCGCCAACTCGGGATGGAAGTTCATTACTGCTGAATATCTTGATTACTTTCTTATCTAGTTGGAGGCTTGTGTGGAACTCTTTTTCCATACGTGTGTGTCGTGGGAGTACATACGTGTACCCCTGTGTTCTATGCATATATGGGTGGCCATAGCGCCTGTCCCCTGCTTTATTTATACGGTGCAAGAACAAGTGAACAGCGGAGAGGGAGGGACACTGTGCATTTCAGCATGTGTGTGTGTGTGTGTGTGTGTGTGTTACGAGTGGAGGAGGAGCAGATAGCAGATACAACCCCCCACAGGCTGCTCTGTTGGGAGGGGGGGTGAATTATTCATCCCACACAGGGGCTACAGACTCTTGGCCCGGGAGAGGAGCGGGCCCTGCTGCCTCTGGATGCTGGGCTTTCATGAAAGAAGAAGCTGGGAGGGACCGGCGGGGCCTACAAATTTACGAGGAGTTAGCCGGGACAAAAGTAAAGCTAATGGGGCTCGAAGGCAAGAGAGGGAGAGCGTGAGAGTAGGGAAAAGTGTGTGTGTGTGGAGGACTGGGGAGGGGCGATTTAGTGGGAACAAAAGAGAGCAGGGTGTTTGAGAGAAAGAGTTTCTTACCTGGCCATGGGGTCCCATCATGGGGTTGCTGGGGTTGTGTGGGGGGGGCTGTGCGTGGGGGGACTGCTGAGAGCCAGGTGGTCCCTTTAAGAAAGAAGAGGGATATCAGAGCGGGGAGGGCCCCCAAAGTGGGCTTTACACCTGGAGGAATTACCCGATACAAAATAAAAAATAGCAGAGTGAAGGGAGGAGGGGTCAGCGGGGAGTATTTAGACGCAGCAGGAAGAAGAGGAGCAAGTTAAACAACTCCTCAACAAAAGAAACAGAATTAAAAGCCAACGCCCAACAGTTTGTATTTGCCTTTTGGTCGAGAGCACCGAACAGAAACGTTTACTTTGCTGGGTTGCTTTAACAGACATTGGATCGGATGCAATAGATCACCGTTGGGACCATCGGGTCAAAAGACCGGATGCAGTTTGCTCATCGGCCACGTGGGGGCAGTGTTGGCAAAGCCTCAGTGCAACGGGACAGGAAGCAGCAGGACAGGCACTAGTGGCAACTTCAGGCCAAAAGGCCACAAAGATGTTACTGATCACAATGAAATTACAGTCGGGAGTTTTTTTTCCTCTTCTTTTTTTTTTTATTGGTGGTTGTGAGACGAATTCAGTTAAAGAATGCAACCCCCGAGCTCCTCTGACACAATTGTGTTAACGCTGACAAGAGGTCAACGACCCCTAATAAATAACTCACTATGCAGCAGCGTCTTTTCCGCCCTCATAGCGGTCAGTAAACTCGGCTGCTCTTTTTCTATAAAATGTCAACAATTTTAAAAACCAGAAAAGAACAATTTAACAAGTAATGCAAGCACCACATTTAAATCGATTAAGAAAGAACATGCGTTGAATGTACCAATTTGGATTTAAATAAAAATGTAGTCACTTTGTACAGATGCTGCAGCATCTTTTCTCAAAAGAACGCAACAAGCGACAGGTTATCATTGGATATCCAACAATATGTTGTTTGCGGTACACAACGAGGCAAGCGCTCACCTTCAGTGTGGCAACAGAAAAGACTCAACGAACCATTAAGACGAGCCGCATTTGCAGCAAACAATCAGAGCTTTCCGCTACAACCAGGTCCCTTGAACACAACACGCAAACACAAACACACACAAACCCTCAACCCGATCTCACTCCCCCACCGATGTTATAAATAGCACGTCCATGTGTCTCTCCTCACCATCTCTCCCCCAGCCCTTCCCCGTGCTTATTCACAGTCGTACTCTCACTAATCTCCCCCCCCCGGCCTCCTCCCATCCTCTCAGCACATTGCCTCGCTCTCTAAGCAAGCAAACAATGGAGTGGTCGGTAGCCACAGAAACAAACACTGGGCCACGATCCTGGTGCCACGGATCTTTTTCACATTCCCCTCGCTTTTTTTTCTTCACTCCTCTTCACCCTTCGCTCTCTCCCGCAATCGCGTCACTCGCTTTTTCCTCTCCCCAACTCTTCTCCACCTTATCGCGCCTCCTGCCAAATGCCAGCGCTGTCCATCACACCACTGCCTCACAGGAGTGTGTCTCTGTGTGTGTGTGTGTGTTGGTTTGTTTGTGGACGGCGCTGGTAGGCCGGCCCGTGTTTGCGTATGCGTCTGTGGGGCGTCTCATTCTCTCCGCTCTTCAGACAGCCGTCTCCCACACAAACACCTTTCCCTTCACAGAGCCGAGACGGCTCAGAGATGGAGACGGTGACGCAGGGGACGGGGACGCAGGGGTGTGGGGAGACGATGAACACGGGATGGTTGAATCACAGGTCGGTCGGGCCCGACAAGAGCGAGCCACAGATGAGTGAGCGGGGTGAGCGTCCGAGGCGTTGGTGGGTGTGAACAGCGAGAGTGGAATAAACAATGTTTGGAGGAATGTGGGGAAAACAAGTGGGAGGAAAGGAATTGAGATGGGGACATCTGAAGAAGCGCGATTGTCGATTTTAGAATGAGGAACTACATTACTAGACCTTGACTGAGGTGACGTATTATCAGGCTATTGATGTGTATATATTAAAAATCCACTGATGTTCTACAGCTTCTGCCTTTTCTGAGTGTTTTTACAGAAAAAAAATTAAACTTTGTGTGTCTCTTTCAGAGTTGATGGTTTCGAATGTGTGTAAATTCTTCTTTGTTTTAAAAACATAACTGGGTGAAAGAAGAATACAGTTCTTTCAGATACAATACACCACATCAAGGTGCCGGAGTTTGAACTTTAAGAAAATGCAAATGCTGTTCAAACGACCGGCAGAGATGGGTGTCACCAGAGGGGATGGAGGGGCGAAGAGGACGGCGACAGAAGGGGGTAAGTCGTACCTGGAAGAAGCCCGGGGGCATGGGACCGCCTGGCATGGCGTCGTTGGGCGGCATGTTGCCCATCACAGGGCTGGGCGCCGCAGCTGCGCTCTGAAACACACAAGTGCTGTGATTAAATGTGGTGTTTTTGTGTGTCAAAGTGTCAAAGTGTGTGTGTGTGTGTGTCTCTCTCTCCCCCTCCATCTGCTCTACAGTGATATGATGCACTGGCCAAAATATTACTATAGGGGGCAGTGTTTGCACCTGCAATAGGAGCAAACCTCTGCCCAAAGTGTCATCCAGTGTGAGGAGAAGCTCATCTGAGCAGGTCGAGTCCCACGGGGGGGAATCCTACCAGAGGGAACCTGCTCTGCTGGAGAGAAGAGTCAGGTCTCTGGAAGGAACATCCATGAAGTTTCAGCGCCACAAAGCGGAGATCTACAGAGCGATACGAGTCAAGAACCTCAAGAATCTACAAGCCATGCCATTCATCTGATTATATTTAGTATCCGTTTTGGCCCATCGCATTTAAAAAAGAAAAAGAAAAGAAGTTGGCAGTTGTATTACCAGAAGTAGCAGAAGTATTACCTCTGATATTTGGGGTTTTCACTGAACCCTGCAGATTTCTTTTTTTTTTTTATAAAATCAGTGTGACTTTGAGTCGACAAACGGTTAATCAGAACTAAATCTTTGGATGATGCGGAAACACCATCAACACTACAATTGATCAATGGATTTACAATACTTAGAAATAAAGCAACATGTCATCAGCGAATAACTAGATTCTGTGAGCTTGAATACATTGGACAGTGGAGAGTGATTCTGTAGTTTCCACAAATGCAGCTGTTTATTCTCTCCAGCTGATCATTTCACATCTAACTCAAGAAAAACATTCTGGCAAAAATTCAGAGTTCAGCAACTTTATAGTTTTCGAAATGTGATTTGTTTTGTTGATTAAGCTCGTCAAAAATCATGTGGGCGGAATTTGGAAGGCTCCAATTCTTATTTCAATGTATCAGATTCAACATTTAAGTAAATATAAGTATAGCCTCTGACTTGCTATTGGCAGATGTCCAATGTTAGAAAAAAGGACTCCGATTGAGATAAGGGCCCAAAAACTGATCATAGTAACACATAAACTAACTTAGTTTCAAATCCCCTTCAGGTCGATCAAACCATATGAGAAGAATTAAACTAGACGACTAGTAGAGAAGGATTTAGCCCGGGAGTTAAATATGATATAACTGTATTCTTGTCAACACACAGACCAAGACGCGTGTTCAGAGTGCTTACATAAGCACGCCGGAACAAACACACACATGCACATAAGCGTGCAAACATACACACACAGGAACACACAAAGAGTTGCATCACAGGCTCATAAAGTGCAGCCCGGCAGCACAGAGAGGCAGACAGGGGAGAACCACAGGCTACAGGACCAGAACAGGGAGGGGTTTAAGACCCAGGGGAGGGTCCCCCCCCTCCCCCCCCAAACACACACAAACCGTTCCACCAGCACGCACACCTAACCAACACACAACATCCATGTGACACGCACTGTATGCATAGACCACGAAGCGTATTGCCAATTACACGCATGTACACAAACATATTCGCTGCCCTTCTTCTCCCGACTATCTGAAAACCAACACAAATTAAAACCAAGAGGAAAACACACACACACCTCCCCCCATCTTTATGCTAATTCTGCTAGTGAACATGAGCAGGCCACTGAGTCCCTGGGGAAGAAGCCGGGTCGGCTGCCTCTTTCTCTCCTCCTCCTCCTCCTCCGACCCCCCCGCCCTTCCTCCCTATCATCTCGTCTTCTGCACACTTTTCTCCTCTTATTGACCCCCCTCACTCATTTTTCCCAGCGCTGACACACACACACACACACACACGCACGCACGCACGCACCTTCCTTTGCCCCAACCCCTGTACTACACCCCCCCCCCCCACCACCACCACCCACCCCCAGTAGGGTGTCAGCAGCTTGCAGAAGCTGTTGCTATGGAGACAGGTCCTATCTGCACTCTGTCCCCCTGGCATCCCCCGCTCCAGGAGCGCAGAGAGAGAGAGAATAAGAAGATGCCGGAGAGAGAGAGAGAGAGAGAGCGAAACCGAGGGGAGAGAGAGCACAAGAGCGAGAGAAGATGCAAGAGGAAGGCCGGAGAGGAAGAAATGATATGCGAGGGGAAAAAGGAGGGAGATTTCTGTTCACAATCAATCACTTGGTCACATTAACAGTCGTAGACTATTAATGATCAACTATCTGCTCGTGAAAGCCCCGTTTTGCAGACTGAAGGCAAACTGAACGCATGCGTAGAGGTAGAGGTGGATTTAGTATGCAGCCGGCCTTTATTAAAACCAACTGGCCTGGGGAAAAACAAAAAGGATTAAACAGAGCTTTTTTTAGTTGTTTTATTGGCGCCCGCAGTATAGTCTATATCTACTTTTCCATTTTCCGCTCAACACCGTCAAAAAAAATAAGACCGCCTCCTTGAATGTAGATAAATGTACAGGAATTTGCCTTGTTGACATTGGTGCAGGAACACAGTTATTCCTGATGCATTCACAACACCCAGGCAGGCCGCACCTTTGTCCAAAGAGAAAAGTTGAAGACAGAAGAATCCACAGCAGACATCAGTGCTGCACTAATTAGATGATATAATGAACACAGCGTTTGGTAGTTGAGCTGAATTATTCATCCTGAATGTATGGAGAGGGTTCTGCAAAGGGAGGATAGCGCGGAGGAAGCGCCGGGTGGCAGCGAGACTTGAAAAGGGGCTTTAATGCCTGACATGCAGAGAGAAGGGGGAAGAATACGGGTCTTTCATTGGAGCTGGTGGAAAGTTCATAAAAACCCAGGGGACGCATTTTCAAATGTCTGGGAATATTTACACCGTTTAAACTGTAAGCCATCTTTTAATGGCCTTCCTCGGCAGCGGCACACAAACACGCCGCCAAAGCACGCCGCAGCCACAAAAACAGTGTGTTTCTGCTTATCAATATGGCAATATATGCAATACACATCCTCATCTAGAATTGTATTTAATAATATACAGACTGGATCACTATATAAAGAAAAGCCACACCAGCTATGTGCCGTTATAATGATTTATGTTGTTCAACATAAAACATTAGGAAAAAAAAAACTGCATTAACATCAAGTTAAAATAAGAGTTTAACTACTTTGTCACTTCAACCTGTAGAGATGGAGCTATTGGCATTGGTTATGTGGAAAATATACCAACATCTATAATGACTTTCACACATTATAAACACAGAACTTATTGTAATAGAGCGCAGTGTGGCTGATTTTCTGACGAGTGCACTCCATAGTTGGTTGATATTTTCAGACAGCATTCCACCCATTTTCACTTCAATGACACATAAGAAACACCAAAATAACACGCTGTGTGACCACAACTTCCACATCTGGCTAGTGACCTTTGCAGCCGTTTCGGTCTGTTCTCACAGTCTCAAGAGACTCCAAAATACTGTGAAAAGTAAAAGCCCTAAAAAGCACCATTCACCTTTTATAGATCATCTCTTATCTAAAATGATCAATTGTTTATCGTTGGGGTTTTTCTCGCCCTTAGCAGTTCTTGGTCGAGCAACACGAAGATGTTGGCAACCAAGAGATCACCTGATTTTAATCGAGAAACGCTACATAAATCAACAACCTCAAAAATCAACCTGACTTGTTTGTGCACATTTACACAACGCAAAGCACCGTGTAATTAGTTGAACCACCTCCCTGACGGACTCATCTCAATGGCGTCTTTGTGGCAAAAACAATTCCAACAGTGACGTGTTAATCCACAGTTGCGGCCCCCTGCGAGGACGCCATGTTGTGTTTGCGTTCCCTCCTTAGTGAAACCCACAATGTTGATGAACAATCTATCGGGGAACAAAAGACTAATGATCTGATTGGCTGGAACAGTACAGTATGCAGGTGGCTGTACAGAATAGCATTGATCCCTCCCTCTCCATTTCCCCTCCTTCACCCATAGGACCTACCGGACGGATCAATAGTGCTCAACACATTATTGACCTCCGCCTGATACCTTTCACAGGGATAAAGACAGAGACATAAACACTGGATGGAGGGAGATACGGAAGGGACGGTGCATGTGTGTGTCTGCCTGGAGAGGGTACTAATCTACATTCTGGTTCACACTGATATGTAACTCATCACCGTCTCCTTGACCTGCTGTCCTTAGCGCGCAGAGAGATGGAAAGAAGACGGGAGGAGGAGGGGTGAAGGAGTGAGGACAGAAGAGAGTGAGTGAGGAGACGGGAGGAGGAGTAGCTGACTGTGGCGATCTGGCTAATTTATCGGCCCAGTCAAAACAGTGCGTTTCGCTCTGGAGCGACAGGATAGGGCTGCTAGGCTCACCGTCACGTCACACAAACAAACGCACACACACAATCTCTGAAAGCCCAGATGTTCCTCAAAACTACCACAACGTGACAAAAAAAAAAAAAACACACAGCCAACACTCCGGAGAGGCCGAACGACAATAATACAAGTATGAGAACAAGAATATTACTTTGACTTAACCTGCATTATATTTAAAGAAACTTCAGCACAACGCGTGTCCTGCAGTGTTTCCATACCAGAGGTTAAGGCGGCCTGCAAGCAAGTAGGTTTTGGGGAAATAAGAGTTCTTGATTTAACTGAAATAAATATTGCTTTGGCCTTCGTTAGTAAAAACCACAGCAGGTAGCTAGCAATGGAAACAGATGTAACAAACCATGACAAACAGTCATAGCAGGTTGTTTACACGCTGAATAATGTGGGCTTGTCCAACAGTTGCACCCTGAGGCTGTTTTTTGGCCTCTGCTCCAAAAATGGCATACCCATGATAAAACGTGTAATAACTGTAACTTCTTTGTCTGTGGACATGTTTTTCTGTGGGAATAAAGGGGAACGTCTGAGCGTTCTGATGTGTAAAAACATGTTTATATGTTACCGATTATAAAATAAAATCTATAAAATACACAAAAAAAGTTTGTGTTTTTCCCCTGAAACTAAATCAACAGCTCTCAAAGTCCTATAAAACATGGAGATATCAGGCCAAAAGCAGATCCGGCTGGTAGCCCTGTGTGCGCACAGTAAGCATGCACAGTTTCACGTTGAACACTACTTTGTGAAGCCCTCACGGACCAGAAAAAGGGAGCAGTCAAAATGTGGATTTGTCCTGACTCCGGCTGTGGTTGGCCGATTCGCCGGTTTAAAGTAACGCTCGAGTGTGAGGATTGGCTGACCCCGCCCCCTCCCAACCCCTAAAACCTGCGCTGAAATTTGTGCTCGTAAAATGACGACTGCACGTAACTTGCTCAAAAAAGTGATTTATTTCATAATTTTGTTCCTGATTCATATGCTGGATTCTTGGCAAGGTTTGTCTGTGGTAACTTGAAGTAAACTAAAAAGAAAACATTTCCTCCATTCCAGCACCCGCCCCGTCTCGTCATGTTGATATTTGCCCACTCGCTCCATTTTCAAATACCGTAACTGTCTTTTCTTCATGTTGTCCTCTTCGGCACGACTAGGCATTGTGGGTAAACAGCTAGATTAGGCAATCAATCTTCTCCCGGGAACAGCGGTAGTAATGGTGGTGAGGGAGGGAGGAGGTCAGGGCAGAGATAGGAAAAGGGGAGGAGAATTGGAGAGAGGGAGTGAGCGAGTGAGACGAGAGGGGGAGGACCGCTCTATCGGTGCGAAGGACAGCGTAAGAAATAGTCAAGAGGCTGCGAGGAGAGAAGGTGGGGGAAAAGACTGTTGGATGTGGAGCTGTCGCAGAGAAACCAGCAGAAAGGGAGCATGACGTGAACGTGCTGGAGTCGCACAAATGCGACAGTCGCGTGGAAGAGACAAACGTGGGCAGACATGTACAGCACGAGGGAGGAGAACCGGAGCGGGAGAAAAGTTTTTTTTAAAAGGCCGAAAATGATAACCGCAAGTTGACCGAGTGCCGATTCAAAAAAGGTGAAAAAAGTATTGTAAAAGGCTTTATTAAAAGCCCATCATTGAGCATTAAAAAAAAAAATAACGATAGGAATTATATGTTGGAAAAGTTGCCGTTATCAGTCTTTCAAATGCTCAGCAAGGCGACTCCCTCTCTGGTGAAGCACCTGCACACTAAGCAAACAGATTGAAAAAGTTCCCTTGACTTAAACCATAAACCCGTTTTGCGTCTCTACTCCCAGCAGAGAGAACAGTGATAACGCCTCTTAATGCTGGTTTGCATTACAGCAATTTTAAAAAAGGTACGGTGAAATATTATTTTTCTTCCAATACCTCGACCTGCTCATTCTTTTGAAACCAGTAGAAACGGACCCGTGCTCATAGACCAGCATCGGGGGGGCCGGAGCCTAAATTAAAGCGGTCCCGTCTCCTTCGCTCTATCACCGTTAGGAGCAGACAGCAAGCAACCATGTAGCACACCCATCTGCATTTAAACACACACACACGCACCACGCACGCTGTGAGCCCCCACAACCTCCATCTATGGGCCGGTTGCCAAAGATTCCCCGCCGTCCAAAAATACACACACACACACACACACACACACACACACACACACACACACACGAACGCTCCCACAGACACACGGACACATAAATCCCTGGCTTAGCCTCGGCCCAGTGCTGGGATTACTGGATTAGAACTCTATTCCATTATCTCCCCACACTATACCACGCACACGCACACACACACACACACACACACACAGACCGTGTCAATCACGAAACATGACTTTTTTTAAGTGGATACAGTAACAGTTTCCCCTTTTATTGGAGAAAGACATTTACATTACTGTTATGATTAATGGGCAGCGTGGTGCCGCTGTTAACGGAGAGACACCAAAGAGGGCTTCAGCAAAACACAACTCTCTACCAAGTCCTAAAAGACCATTTCAGAACTGATCCTGGACTCGGAGCTCGGAGAGCATCGAGGAATTTCTCTTTAGGAGGTATCCAAATAGTTCCTTGAGTCAAATCAGTCTGATTTACAAAAATCCCTAAAGGCGCTTTAGGATCTGTGCAGCAGTCCTTGGCCCATGGCACCAAAGTAGTTATTTTATTTAATTTTTTGAAGTGGAAAATCGTTCTAAGGGAACAACTCTTATCTTGGAGTTCGTTCTGTGTCCCTGGAAATACAAAAATGCCTAAATATTTTGTCAACTAAAATGTGCGTCACGCTGTGAAGCGTCTGTCCCTGCAGGGGGCTGATCATGATTTGCAGTGTTTACATGCATGTCTCGGGCAGACATGTAAACAAAACTAATTCCACGGTGAGTGAGTGTTTTTCTGCATGTGAAAATGAAAAGAAATACTCCGTCACTTACATAGTCATGGAAGGCCTTTGCCTCACTGGAGTGCTCGCATGTCTCCCTTCGGTCTGGAGCCGCACAGTACAAATCCCAGAATACACTGAAATACAAGAGGGGGGGCGGGGGGGGGAGAGAGGTCAAAGGTTACCATACAGAGCAATACAAGCACATGTGTAACAGCTATTCATAACCCATTCACACACTCCCACTATCTCCCTGGCGCTCTTAAACAGCCGCTTATGTACTTGAGCATCACTGTAAGAGGGACACAATACCAGTGTCACCTCCTCAATCAACCGCTCACTCACTCAGACACACACACGCACTTTCTATCCCAAACGTTAACGAACACTGAAGTATATTTATACAAATATAAAACAAAGATTTAAATCTAAAATACACCATATTTTTTGTTCAAAATATTTATTATTTGTTTTCAGGTGCGTTTTCACAAAATCACATTCCATGACAGCTTTTGTTTCAGTTCTATTTGAATAGTGCAAGTGGAAAAAACAAACAAACAAAGCCAGCCAAGAGCTTACAGCTAGTGTGCAAACTGTCTAAGAGGCCTTCATCGAATCAGTCTGTGTGCATTGATTTAGTGGAAGTGGAATAAGCCGACGTGGCTAACGAGGAGGACCAATCAGGCAGCCACTCCACATGTCCTGGCAATCTGCGACACACACGCCAATGTTGTAGCCCAAACATCTGGACTTCTGCACACACCTCTGGCCTTCAAAAGACAGTCGTGTGCGGGAGGCCCAGCATCCTGAGTGCCACTGTGAGTCGTTGGGGCCCATTGAGAGGGAATTATAAAAATGTGATTACAAACTTCCTCATTCCAAGAAAAGGCGAAGTCGGATGGTTGAGCTGCAGGAGGAAAGGATCCCAGCGTGTGGTTCAAGGACACATCAACAAGGAGAAATGATCGTTTGTGTCCCAAGTTGAACAACAGAACAAAGTTCCTCCCAAGATTTGCCACAGCTTTAATGCTTCCAAATTATTAATATTATTATGTTCCTTATTGTATCGTTTTTATTAAAAACATCCTCGGTCTCATATTGCTGATGATGTTCTATAAGCCTGACGTTCATTCTTCTGACTCAGCAGATCCAAGAGTTACACTAGAAGGTTGTTTAAGAGCATATTTAGACGTCTGTAATTCTACATCCACAGGTTCTTCAATATTCGCTTCATGTAATGCGTGATGTACTAAATATCAGTACAGTGAAACTATTCTGAATCCAGAGGTGGTTCCGGCAGCTGCACTTTAGGATCTTTCCGGAGAAGCAGCAAGTACCAAGGCGTGACATCAAAAGGGATCAATACATTGTCACATAATGAACAATTACCATTGGTATTTCCCGTCATAAAAAGGTTTATAAAAACAGAGGTGGGGACCATGTGATACAAACGGGGCATAAAGTGTGATTCATTCAAGTTCTCTGCTGTGGGTAAAATTGCACTTTGGCAGCAGATATAAGGGGGTTTGGTTTTCACGTCTCTAGTCAGTTTATTTCTTTATTTGATTCAAAACGATAAGGCTGCCAATGAACTATCTCATATTAGTGGAGACAAATCTCCTGAAAAGATCAAAACTAACAATTGGTTCTACTAACATTTGCTATCTGTGTGTCTAATGCCATATTCCTCTGTGACAGATCTCCATTGTTGCCATAAATGAACACACATTGTCGCGCTGGGTGACATGTTTTTTTCCCCCAATAATGTTTATTCAATCCGTAGTGCGCCAGAACAAGGTGTAGAATAGTTATAAGAGGCTTGGTTTGGACCTCTTCGTTGTTGACAGTAAGGAAAAAATTCATTTTAAGGATAAAACGTATGCGGGGGAGCTGATTTTTAAGTATGTAACCAATCCCGGTCTCGTCAGAACATCGGCTGGCCTGGTTCAAAGTCGGTATCGTTACCTTAAAGCCATGAGATATTTCTCAATACGGGTCCATCGGTGCAGTTACATCAATAAATAAGGGTTCCACATCGGTTCTTCCTAAAGCGAGCAGCTTCAGCCAAGAACCATGTGCTTTTTTAACCAACCGTTTGGGTTCTAGGTGCATCACACTGAACGTAAAAGTTAGGTTCTTGTCAGCACACACTTACAGAGAGGAACAGTTTGCAGAACCGGTTTCTATGGTGGAAACATTCCGCCGTAAAAGGATTCCAGCCTGAACCAGGTGGAGACTTTATAAAAAGGGGATTACAATGAAACGTAGATTTATAGCGTCTGTAATCGGGCTGTTGGGTTCTTTGGTCCATACTGGTCTAAAGGTGACAGTGACGTCCAGAAACAAGTGAAACTGCCAACCGGAGCTGAAGGTGACGACCCCGTGGGTCAAAGCTTAGCCTCTGGCCGAAATGACAGGAGGGAGTGGGGAGGAGGAGCGGGAAGAAGGTGACACAAAGGAAGATGGAATGCAACGGGTTAATCTGCTAAGAATCCCTCTCCTGCATGAACAAAGGAGAAAAGTGGGAGGTTGGGGGCACACAAAGGGTGACGAGCGGGTGAGGAGGGGCCGGGGGGGGAGGTAGTCCATTCCCGAACCATCTGGATCTATTGTTTCAGGAACGCGGGTGAAGGATGCAGAGCTGGAGGAGGGGAGACGACATGAGGGGAGGGGGGGTCACGCCCTCGGTGAGTCGGGTCAACCCCAAGGCTGGGACTGCGCTACACCTCCCACCTACGGAAGCCATCTTTAATCACAACGTGGTGAGAGTTCCTCCAATTAAATCAAAATCTGCAGGTACACACACACACACCTGGATGCTTCTAATAAATATGGATTTAATGTATTCAAAGTTGAATTTGAACTCTTCCATGAGCTTCAGATCACAGGCGTTCAAACGAAGCTACTGTTTGTGCATATAAAGTAATGAATAATGTAGAGCTGCAATGGACCCTCGAGACTTTTCAATGAGTGTGTGTGTGTGTGTGTATATGGGGAGGGGATGCAGTGCTTAAAGCTACAGTTGGCAACACCAATAAGAGTTGCTTTTGTTATATTTTCTGAAGGAGTCTCTACAGTCAGACACAAGTATAGAAAACAGATCATTTTTCGAAAAGAAATAAGGTTTCAACCAATCAGAGTCGAGGAGTCACGCAGCTGTCAATCACTGCTCTGAAACTGATCAAAGCAGTAGTGATCAAATATCCATCAAAAGGCCATTATTGTAATCTGCCATTTCTTGCCTCAAATATCTTTAGAAAAAAAAATTCTGATTTTACCAGCTAAATGTTGGATATTGACAACAGTCTAGTCAAAACGAAGCCGACTGTAGCAAACCGTACCATTTTAAAGCTTAACAGTAAACAAAAATCTAAAATATTGATTCATATTGATTTGATGGTGATTGACAGCTGCGTTAAGAGACTTCTCGACTCTTTTTCCCCCCAGAAATCTTTAAAGCTATTTGGAGCACTAAAAAGCAGTTGGAGGTACCTGAATTATTATCACAGATACCTCACGTAAAGCTCCCGCAGTTTAGCAGCAGATTAATGAAACTAGTTACCAACTGCAGCTTCAAATGTTTACACACACACACACACACACACACACACAACATGGATCAGCTGAGAGAAGAAATAAAAGGTGACGCTTACCACCACCACGAGTGGAGGAATCCGGGAGGCTCCCCTAATGTAATATTCTTCTCCCATCGAATCTGGGAGGAGAGGAGAGGAGAGAGGAGTCACTTGTGGCCACTAGAGAGGATTATGTGTGCAGGTCCGGGGGTTAAGAACATATAATCAGTCAGTCTCCAACTGCCGATGGCCTCGGACGTGGAGATGCCCATCGTTCTGACTCCGTCCACCTCCGTCGTCCTGAATCTCCCCCATTTCACTTTTTACACGTTTAAAATGTGCTTCGGAGGCAGTGAAGTCAGATGCTCATTCATAGTTAGACTCTGTCAGGAGCAAAACGTGTCACAAACACAAGAAGGTCGCCGTTGTTGGCGGAGAGGGAGCATGATTTCAACCTTTACAGGATTTCCTTTTTTAAAAATGTATGCAACAGCTGATGTTTACACCGACAGCAGAAGTGGTTGTAAACATTCGGTAAGGCCGGGCTGTGGCATCTACTCTTCTACGAAGCGAGTCGAGCCGTTTTACACCCAAAAGTCATCTCTCCGACATGTGTTTTGATTCCTTTGCTGAAGGTTTTTCATCAATTCTTTAACTGTCCTCCTTAGCTCTCATGAAAAAGGCACAGATTCATGGACTGGTTACTGAGATTGATGTCAACTTACCTCAGACAAGAAGGTCTGTGCGGACTTCTGTGCTCCCACATGTAGCAGATACTCATACACGTATAATGCTAACCTGGAATAGAAGGGGAAGAAAAGGTTAGCCACAACATTTAGCCTGGTTAAGTCTAAAGATCCCTCCTATTTTCACTTCATTCTCACAATTTTTCCAGCAAAATTAGATTAAGTCGGCCAGCCTACATCATTTACAACAAAACAACAACAACACAGCCACAGATTAAACTATGAGCATGACTAATTGGTCGGGAATCATTCCAGAGGCTTCAAGTTTTTCAAACAATTTGTGTTTTGCATTTTTACCAAAATCTAAAAAAAACAAAAACATAAAATAACAGAATAAAACAGTGGAAAAGTACTTTTCTAAATAATTTTCTTAATAAACGAGAGAAGTCGGCTCCACAGGTCTAATTTAAACGTCAGTGACATTAAAGAGCTTCCCATCCATATTAACAGTAGAAGCTACCGATGTTCTCGCAGTAGGACGAGTGCTGCACACAAGCCGCCGCTGCCTGGAGGACTACGTTTGACCCGTCAGCCGCCTTCACGCTGACAGCTCCCAGTCGGCCGGAAACTAATCACCACAGAAGAAGGGATTTTGGGACACTGGCAGGAAGCGGTTTCTCTGGCTGAAATGCAGCTGAAGCACCTCCAATCCACCACCAACGGCATTCCCACTGAATATCAACGATACGCCTGAAGCTCTCGCCTCGAATTTCTAATCACGGGCATAACGGGCTACACTTGACAACACCGATCCACCGGGGCCTATAAGCAGACACGAGCGGCGTGCTGCGGAGTAGGGGAACACCCGATGGCCCAACCTCGTGCTCCTAACGCTGTCGCTTAGTTGTGTTTAATAGGCCGTTGATGGACCATCAAATCGACCGGCGGCGTGGATATGACAGTGGTCCGTGTGCCCGGAGCGGACACTTCTCTGACAGGCCAATGAGGTCCTAATGAGAGGGACGGTGGCTCAGTGTCATATTCCCCATCATTAGCCAATGAACTGATCAATGACACGTGGTTTTGAGATAACACTGTTGTTGTGGGGGGTTTTCCAGCAGTGACAGCCGATTTGCTACTTCATTGCTATCGTTGACCAGTGGGATTTATAGCTGGACAACAGAGGTTTGAGTGAGGAGGCTGATGGGCTCGCACTATCCCAGAAACCACAGTTTCAAAAAACGAATAACCCTTCCTAGAAGGCCGCCAATGGCGCTTTTCCACGGTACGGCTTTACTAATCGCCACTCCCCTTTTATTGGTTTTCCATTAGCGAAAAGGGGTGGGTAGCATGACTACTGGAAGGTGGAGATAAAACCCTGCAGACTACTGGCTGGTCAGAGAGATCCTGCTCAAACCTGACGGATTTAACAAGCCACAGCTACAGCCAATAGTGAACAGAAGTTCTCCTCCCACAAAGCTGCGCCCAATGACATCCTTCCATTTACCGCTGAAAGGATTCAGCAAAGTCACTGACGTTTGATTCGACGCGAGAATCCCATCTGCACAGAGGGGGTACCACAGAAATGTAGAAAGGAGTTGGTAGCAAAAAAGCCAGTTGAGTTGATTCAACAGAGCTGAACAAAGCAGTGGAAATGTGGCGATAGATGCTCAGCGTCAGGAGGAAGTCTCTCCTGCGATCAGACCCTTTGAGGAGGATATCAGGTGTTTGTAAGGTGACAAAGCTCATGCTGGATTGACCGATCCTTCCTCTATACAATTTCTGGGCAAAAGTGAATAACTACATAAAAAAAATAAACGTATAACCGCCTCACATGTTTGGAAATATCCCCATTTCTTGACCTAAAATATAACTGTTAAATAGATAATTAAATGAATGTTGGTATCTAAGTGGTGACGCTTTTAATGCAACGGTAAATAGGATTGGACCATCTCGTAAATAGTCCACAATTAAAAAATGGCTACGAAAAAACCCAAAAACATTTTCAATGCAAGAGGGCAACCATTGAGATGCATTAAATCAGGCCCCAGATGCACACCGGAGCAACAGAAACAGCGACTGTGGTGCGCTGCAGACACGATACACGTCAGACCCGTTCTTACTACGTATAGTATGCAAATGTATTTAAAGTATGCATTGTTAGTATGCAAACGCCGTCCGTAAAAAGATATGAATAGGAAAACAGACAATAACTGTAGTACGGGGCCGATGGTCAGGGGACATTTTCTAAACATCACAGGAGGGCGGAGAGGCAGCTGGCAGATTTACATACGCGCTCCTTAAGAATTGTGCGATCAAATTTGGTTTTAACAAAGCAGAAGATCGAAATCTGAAAGAACAAAGTTATTATTCAAGTGTGACACGTGATCAGTTCTGCTTGAATGTCAAAGCAATCTCCACCCCACATGCCAGTGAGTACACACAGAGCAAATGGCATTTGGTACATGCACAGAAACAACTATGGATAGACTTGTTTACATCCGGCTTTTACTCCCCGTGTACCGCGGCTGGCGGCGCATCGAGCACCAGCCTGGACTAAATACTGCCGGTCATTGTACGGAACGACACTTTTCGGGCCCTCGCCGAGGCTGAATGGGCGACCTGCAATCACAAATATCCTGTTTCGTTACAACAGCTATTGGGGAGTTTCTTTTAAAGTTATTGACATTTGAATTGATTCCCCATGCTGTTAAAAATATGAAAAAGAACAAAAGTTTATTTAGAAATTTAGAGTGCAGGAACTTTGCCTGGTACTTGTCTAACTCCATTTATACACATTATATCGAACCACAGATTCAGTGTGACTTCAGTCTTCTATGAACAGCTCAGTCACAAGTCTAATGTGCATTTAGTCGCCCGGCCTTCATAAAAGTCATAGCAGCTAGACGCTGCGATGCAGCTCATGAGCCTCGGTACGTGTACAGCAAGTCGGGGGTAATAAATAACTGAGGGAGTTCCCTTCTTCCAGATAGCCACCCTGATAAAACCTGAATAAGTAGGCAAGACCAGATGAAACAAAAGAAGCAGAAGTGGCCCCGACGTCTAAACTGCCCAGAAGGACACGGGTTAATAGCATTATTCAACTGCAAACGCATCTGCGCACACACACACACACACACCACTTTAGCCAAGGGAACCTGACCACTTTCTACGGCTCCTGGCAATTTGTAGGTCACAAAGCTCTGTGTGACCGCTGGTGTAGAGTGTAAGTCTCTGCATTTGCAGGTCAGTCTAGTATGGGGCCACACACACACACACACACACACACACACACACACTTTAAAAACAGATTCCCTCCCTCTAAACAAAGTCTGACCATTTTTAAAATGTCTGGCAAAGACTCAAGAAGGAGGCTTGACGTGTCAAATATTGATGCCGTCAGCATCTCCCTGGTCACTGCTATTTTGATGGCTTGCTTAACACACGCGCCACGTTCCATGAGAAGTTTGACTAAAAGGGAATAGTAAGAGGACTTGGTTTTGTGTCGGGGGATACAAGGATCATACTGCAGATCCCCCCCAAGAGGCCTTCAATGAAATTTTGATGGGTGTGTGTGTGTGTGCTTGTGCAGGTTGAAAAGGGGCTGTGTGTGCGTGCACCTGGCCTGCTGCATTATTAAAGCTCAGAAGCCAGCGCATAGAAAAGGAGAAGTTTGAGGAGGAGGGGGGAGAAGAAGAAGGAGCAGCAGCTGTAGGAGAGGGAAGAAAATAAAGAGGAGAGTTTTCACTGGAACATAAGACGGGTTATGCCACCTTTTTTTATATAGAGAGGCAGAAACAGAAGGTGGTACAAGGGATCAGAGGGAATATCAAGTCTGGATGGAGGGGGAAATGACAACGCAGAGGTTGTTTCTGACAACCAAAATGACATATTATATTCATAGGAAAAGGTAACAAATCGGAACGATAGCTCCAGCAACCCTTATTTTCTAACCGTTTTTCCCGGTTATATTACCTGGAGAAACCAGGTTACTTTTGACAACATCTAGCAGGATGCCCACTCACTCGCTTTTGACTTCTGCATTTTATCCTGCCTCTCTCACTGGGAAACAGAATTCACCTCCAGCATCATCACCCCCCCCCACACCGCGCGACCTTCTGACCCCTCCAACGCTGTGCGACGGGACATCAGCGCGTGCATTACACGCTACCCTAGAGGGAGAATCACCTGACATCCTGCCCCGGGCTTCGGGACAAAACCCCCTTCTTTAAACATGGATGAACGTCTGACCACCCCGTCTCCGTCTCTTCAGTCTCTCCAAACGCTGATGCAAAACTGAGAGCAGCTGCTTCAGTCCGTCTCAATAATTCAACATCACCGAAGCAGCGGGATGAGGACTTTGAGGAGCAGCAGAAAGGATGGGAAGTGAGAGCGAGGGAGCAGATGATGGAAGACAATAGAGGAGCATAAAGAAATGATATGGGTTCCAAAACTCAGCAGCGGGAGCTTATGGTGTCTGACAACTCTGTCCCCCTGTTCAGTGAGTGGGGGGCTTTTTGCTAGGGTTTAACCCATCACCTGGCAGGAATAAAGCCGTGAGCATTCACCTCTGGGGAGGATCTAACCGCTTATTTACCTCCAGGTCGATCACGCCGTGGGGGAACATGAACTACCGTCACGACGCACGGGGCTCTGGGAACAAAGTTTAAGGAAGGCACGTGCGGGTCTCGGTTTGGCTTTTTGTTGGCCGGTGACCACCGGCGGGGAGATGCCGACGCCTGTTCCCGAACCGATGCACACATTCACCGCTGAGAGCCTTTTGGATGGTTTTAATAGTTGATAAACGCGCGGCGCGCATCTGCCCGGCGAACAACAGGCATGCAGACGGCGGCGTGCAGACAAAGGGATCGGAGAGCTTCAGCCTCCCCCCTCTCCCTCCCTCCCTCCTTCCCTCGCTGAGCTAACAGCGCCTAAAGCGTCCTGACAATATAAGGTGGGGGGAGAAGCTTCTCCGAGCAGCTTCATCCCCGGCACTACTTTGTCCAAGTCGGGGTTCGAGTGGAGAAAACCTCCGCGGGGCCACAAAAGTTGTGAGGAGCCGCGCTCCCGCACGCCGCACACGCGGGGAACCGGCGCGTCCACAGCCCCGGTGCCTCCGTGGAACGGCTCCATCTCACCACAGAGCCCCAAACAGATGTGCTACATTTGTTGTGTTTTTAAACATCGCCGCTTCTGCGCAACACAATACGAAATTTAAAAAAGGGGGGTCAGCTAGCACCTCGCTCGCAAATGCATTGTTCACACCGGGGGCGAGACGGTGACCAAAGTGGGGTCCCCGGCGATGCTCTCCCCGCACACGGTTCAGCCTCCCCCCCACCGGGGGAGGGGGGTGCACGGTTATGAATTATCGCCCGAAAGCAACGTGTGCGGCGACGCTTCCTCCGTCAAGAGGTGGTGCAACTTCAGAGGCTAAAGAAAGGCAGCCAGTCTTTGTTTTGCACCGGGAGTGAGGGGTGGAAGTGGGGCTAGCCGCCGGAGCTAACTTAGCATCCGAGCCCGTGTGAGTTGAGGAGGATGCAAAAACAGGGCACCGCGACACGCAAAGTGGTCAACGCAAAGAAAGAACCCAAAGGAACTACCACGAGCACACTTTGAAAGCTTGTGTGGTAAAAAAATAAATACATTTTAAAATATAAAGACCTCGCCGAACATGCGTGCTCCTACTAAAAGGACCGGGCTGCCTCACACTAGTTAGCAAGTTTAGCCACCTAGCACAGTGTTTACTGGGTCTGTGTTGTGACAGTGCAATAATTTACTTACTTTTCTCTCGCTTGGCTGTCGGAGGGGACCACGGCTCCTTTGCCTTTGCCGTACATCTTGGAGGCTGTTCTGGTACTTTTAATTTTATCCCACTCGACACCTGTCAAAGAAAGCTACCAGGAAAACCTACCATCTCCATAGCTACCCGGTTAGTGTTGTCTCCCTGTCTCTACCCTGCGCTCTCTTCACTCCGGTTTCCTTCTTTTTCTTTTTTTTTTCTACATCCCCAACATTGCCCACAAATCAGGCAGGGTTTCAGCCGGGGGGAGCTTGAAACCGTCCACTGGTGGAGCTTTTTTTCCTTTTTTTTTTTTCAATCGCTGTTCCTGGATGCAGCTCACTCCCCCCTGTTGTGCGATGGTGGGGGCTTCTTAAAGCCACAGCGTCTCGGTTTTTGTCGACTTCGCTAAAGTTCAAGTTGTCTTCTCGAGGCCCTTCAAGTTTCTGCCTTACATCACTTGTTGGTGTGCAGTACAGACCCCCTTGTACTGATTGCTGTTACTATTTTAAAGATTTTTATTTAACGTTTAATGTGCCCTGTACCTGTATTGTATATGAAGAGTGTTTCAATTTTTGCTTAATGTCACACTAGTGGTGTTGTAGAATTGGCCAAATAATCACCTGAGTGCCGCCCCCCCTCCCGGCGCCCCTGTGCTCAACCCAAATACTTTTTTGGTCCCGTAAGACAGCTGAACATTTCCCCTGACTTCACACAAATAAAAAGTGCCTCTAAATAACTTGACCCACAGACGGCCTATGCAAACCACTGATTGGTTAAATTACTAGATTATAGAACTGCAAATGGGAAGCAATGACTGGTTTTATTGTTTGTTTTCATGAATGTTTGTCTTCCCAAACTGCTGTGCATGGACTACCATGTCTGTATTTCATTGTTTTATTTAATCTGTCCCCAGACCTTTTTCAATCTCTGTAAACACCTAAAGAGAAACTGAACATTACAAACCAAAAATAGTTCTTGATTCGTCAATATCTTTCTTTTTAAGTTCATCCTGACTTGAAATCATTTGAAAGTCTTGCAAAGGCTCACTCGACATGTTTTAATCTTTGTTTGTGGCTCCAAACTGTTTCTATCCTCATTAAAGAGCAGATTAGGAGCAGCAATCATTGTCTTGATTTTAAAGGGATCTTCCTATCTGGTTTGGATACAGGACATCACACTCCAGCACAACCGACGGTCAATTACATTACACTATCTTCATGGTTTTGTATAAGTCAGTCTCCCAATGTAGTACATTGCATTCAGACAAACTAGACCAACGAGGGATTAATACAATATGTAGCAATAATGATGCACAAGTAGAGTTATACATACCAGTTAAATTCTTTACGCAATCACAGTGTAGGTTGTTCTTGTTTTACCTCTCTGTTAAAAAACTAGAACGATTACATTCTCAATATTCGAAAATGTAATATCCTCCCAAACAACAACGCCTGACATTCTGCTCTAGTCAAGCCTTCAAATAGTTTGCAAGGTTTATGTTCATAATTTTAATCAATACCATTATTATATACTGTCCTGCAGCTGTTGATAATGTGCATTTACTGTTGAGGTATGCTGTCGGCTCTTATCAGCGATGCATAATTCTGTGTAATGTCCCTTTAAGAGTGTGTAGAGGGCAGTTGCAGAGTTTGTGTGCATGCACATGTGTGTGTGTGTGTGTGTGTGTGTGTGTGTGTGTGTGTGTGGAAAGCAGGGACAGGCGGTGTGTTCTGGTTTTGTGCTACTAGTTGTGGGAAGGGCACAGCTGACTGTCTGTGTGCGTGTGCGCACTGTGGTGTGTGTTTGTGTGTGTGTGGAGACAAGCGCATGTACGTGCGCGTGCATGTGTGCGCGTGCGTGAGAGAAAGAGACGGGAAGCGGGAGAGAGAGAAAATACATTCTGTGTTGTGGGGCTTGTCTTTTTTTTTTAAACATGAGAATACCAACATGATAAGCAGATGTGATATAAAAGACTGGAGCAACAATAGAGTAAGAAGATGATGAAAGAACAGGAGCATTGTCTGCTGCATGGTCACACACATGGCCAGAATTTACCTGGTTGAGCTGTTGTGTGTAATGTATGCAACACAAACCCAAGATCAAATAAAGCTGTTTCACATGCAATGTGTGGTTTATTTTCCAATACATTAAAATGTACTTTAACAAAAATGAAGAGAAAGAGTGCAAAAAAACACCCTGACATTTTCTCTTGCCTCCGCCATATTTGTTTTTACAGTTAAAGCTATTGTATGTGGAAGTACTTGTTGAGCTGCATGGTCACACACACACACACACACACACACAGTAAATGAACAACACGCAGCAACTGGTCTGGTTGAGCATTATCGCGTAATTTTAATCTTTTGATATTTGGGTTTCAGGCTACGTCCCCTCCAAACCGGCTCCATTTAAAAAAGGCTCCTTTGCGTTTACGTGATGAATGTTTCAGTAATGATCTTCCTCCACACTCATTTTACAAACAGTGAAAGAAAATGGTTATCTTTCCTCTTCTTTGTCCGATTACACTGTCAGTTGCCAAAAAAACCTCTGGATATTTGTAGAATAAAAACATTAAATCCACCTCTGAACAAGGTGAGTGAATTTTGCGTCCCTGTCGCTGTCGAACAAATGACAATTTGATGATTGCAAATCACAACGAGTGTTCCCACTGAGGATCAGAGGGTTCCATCCAAAAGTTCTGTTTTCTCATCCACTCTAAAATGTTACGCAGACATTTTCAGACATGTCTGAGCTACAGCTTTCGGAAGCTGCATTTCTTTGGGGGGTGTGTGAAAATACCGGCATTCTGTGCGGACAGACGGTAGAAATGTTGCTCGTACGTACTCGCAGAGAGGGAGAGAGAGAGAGAGAGAGAGAGAAAGTGGTGGTGTTGCCATATCTTTTAAGCTCTAGACCACAAACTCTATCACTGTCTCATCATAGCACCAGTATTGATCCGAGAACCCGATGATCCCGGAAACACGGGCTCTACCTCCCTCACACCGAATGCACACGAGCAGCATCACCCTGAGCTTTCTCTTCCTCTCTGCTTCGTCCAATGCAGATGAACAGATACAAGTTGTTAAGCGCTTTGCAAACACACGCACTTCATTCCCCACCGTCCATCCGTCAGCCAAACACGGCACCGGGCATCACTGTACTGTATTTGCACAATTACCTTTGCACCAAACACAATGAATGATTCAGGAAATTGTGCAATAAGTTGAACACGTTAGGTTTGTTTCAGTCCGACTGTTTTCATTCACGTTTTCAATTTGTGCACAAAATAATTTTAAATGGAAATGAAAGTCAGGAGGTTCTATTTGTCTCATATATGAATATGAATGAGGAGATGCTATTGCATCAATGTGAATACTAGAAATTTAAAAAAGCTTTACACTTAAAACAGAATGACCAAAAAATGTAGAAAATAGTTTCCTAAACATAGTTAATAGACACAAGTTCACTACAAGTGGCAGCAGCCTATTAATATAAATGGCACTAGCTGTTGCAGGTATTAACATTGATAAGTGACTTAAATGCTGCATTAGAGCGATGAAATTAAAACGTTAATATTATATTTCTATTACATCTTTCACTATTTTAGGTTTGAATGGCGCTCCTTTTTAAACATTTTCTTGTTGTGCCCTCTTCCTCTGCAGTGGTTCAATGACACTTAAGCTGTTAATCTCAACTCCTAATATATAATTGCACAATAATTTGCATTTACTACGGTGGCCCTGAAGTGCAAAACACAACGACATTAACTTCTTACGGAAAGGGTCGGGCCTTATAGCAAGAAGTAGAGGACGGACCCTTCTGATTGGACAGTCGGACTGTCTGTCTTTTAGCTGGAAATGATACAGGGTTCTCAAGTGTCACGCACTCCGGCCACACATACAATTCCTCACGCCAAGGAATCGGACTCCGGTCCCCGAGCCGTGTCGGCCATAGCGTCCCGCTGTAGCCACCCCCCCTCTTAGCGTACATTTCCCTTTGCGAATTCTTTATGGAAATTTGGTTCAAATTTGAAATACTTTTACATGGAAGCCTGGACTCCAATATTTTCAGCCTAATAGTGAATTTGCATGAAACTGCTTCAGGTTCAGCCCAATTATTCATTGCACATTGTACTCTCTTAATAATTTATTACAGGTATATTTACTGACCCTGGATCTGCCCTTGATAATGCAATCTGTGCTGGGACCTTGTGAGACACTAACCTCTTTAAAAACTCGTTGTGATTGTATTTCACAACCTCCATTAAGGATTTCTTTGCTGTGCTTCACAATACAGAATATTATTCAACACCCAGTTTGATGAAATGCATCTTTCGTCCTGAACACAGCGCAGACCTTTGGCACCGACTCATATTCTTTGCAAACTCCTTTTTGGTTTATTATTTGGTTTTCAGCCTCCAAACTTCCATTAAGATCCCTCTCTCGCTCCTCCCTCTGGTATCTCTCTCTTCATCTTCCCTCATCACTCTCTTTTTCCTCCTCTTCCACATCGTCGTCCTCTCCTCTGACCCACTTCCCTGCCGTTGTTGCCACTATCTCGCTCTGTATTTCCTCGTGCACCCACATCCTTCATCGCTCTCTCCCTCTCTTTCTCTCTCTCTTTCTGCTCCCTCCTTCCCCTTCCTCCACCATTTCCGGTCTCCCTTTCCTTGTCTCCCACTTTGCGCTTCTCCACCCTCCTTCTTCTCCCTGTTATTTCTCTTTCTCCTTCTTCTTCTGTCTCCTCACTTCTCTCCTTTTCTCCTGCACCTTCACACTTCCACGAATGTCCTCGCCACTGGATCTCCATCCTTCAGCCTCGTTGCATATTCTTATTCTGTGTCCTCTCCGCTTTTCACTCTCCATCTTTATCCCGGGCATTCTCCTCCTTCATCACTCCTTTTCCCTTCTCACTCATCCTCTACTTCTTGGCTTTATCCTCTTTCCACCTTGCACCCCCCCCTGCCTCCCCCTCCCTTCCACCATGACTCATTTCCCCTCACTAAGCCACAGAGCCACTCAGGACAGACATTTATCAGTGGCCTCAGATGGTAGATGCTGCTCACCACAGCTCTAGCAGCCAGTTAGCCCTGTGATGCCTTATGCATTCAGATATCACCTGGCCAGCTGTAATTTACTGCCTCAACCCGGATTGAAAACACACAGAAATGACTCATGTTTACACACACACACACACACACACACACACACACACACACACTGACAAACTGCACTATGGAGAAACAAAAGTTTAGTGAAAAGCATGAATGCGTAGATGAGTATATTAGTATATTT